GCCCACTGAGTTTCTCGCCGGATCTTCTCAGTGGGTCGCGTTTCCGATACGGTGATAGATTCTGCGGAGCACTGCTCTTGCTAGGATTAGTTTTAGCAACGTCATCAGGTTAGAGCCCCGTGAGCTCACCTACTCGCCTCGTTACGCTGGCATATATCCCAAGATTACCAGCTCAGGTAGGAAAAACAAAAAGAGGAGCAATTCCAGAAATCATTTTTTTTTCCTACCTATGCTGATAGCCTTGAGAGGCTATTTCAGTTTCACCCTAACGTTTGTAGGTGAGTTCACGGGGCTCAACCGGAGAGTTGCTAACACTGACCCTAGCAAGAGCAGTGCTTCGCAGAATCTACCACCGGATCAGAAACGCGACCCACTGAGAAGATCCGGCGAGAAACTTAGTGGGCTGTGTCTATGGGTTAGTTCGCTCGTCGAGCCCTTCGTCGTAAGCGACGGGTTCGACGAAGACGGTGAACAGTGCTTGTGGTGCCTAAAAGCACCGTTAATGGATCAGGAGGATCCGTAATTACGACGTCGACGGTTTACCATTCGGTCTACTGGGTCGGGTATGTAGTTATGAAATCAATAGCACACAAGAGTTTGCATAACCATATACAAATCACTGTAAATCCTTTATTCGTCACAAAGGCAACGTCCATAACGTAAATCCAATTAAATAAATACACAAAACAATTTAGACCGGGCCCGAAGCTCTCACTCCATCTGTAGGTCACTGAGGACTGATTATAATTCGATTCCGAAGTTTTAATTAAAACATTGTTTGACGATGATGGGGCGTACGGCGATCGTATGACCGCCGTGTGATTGCTCCGGATTAAAATGTAAGCCCAAATGTCAACAGGCAATGTACCGGTTTTAAATTGACAGATGTAATAATTATTTTTTATATCTTTTTGAAACCGGTACGCAGCGTGTCCGAATTATGATTAAAAGTACTTTTAAAAAAATGTTTATATTAAAAATTAAATTGATAGGAACCTCACATTACATTTTGCTACTAAAATAAAATTCGACCAATTGTTTTCCATAATTCATTAATATTATAATTAATAAATAAATCTGTTTTTTTTTTTTTTTTTTATGGTTTAACTTTCTTAATCACACCCATGAATTATGACAACCTTGATCCCAAAACTGTTCAATTTGCACATAAAAGCCATTTTATAAAATTTCGTGGAATAAATAACCCACCCCACCCCTCATTTAATAAATACTACAGTTACTAGCATAACAGTTACAAAGAAGTGATCCTGACTACAAATCATAAATATACAAATTTATTTCGGTCTTATTGCTTCTTAGTGGTTACTGGAGCCCATAGACATTTACAACGTAAATGCGCCACCCACCTCGAGATATAAGTTCTAAAGTCTCAGTATAGTTACAACGGCAACCCCACCCTTCGAACCGAAACGCATTACTGCTTCACGGCGGAAATAGGCGGGGTGGTGGTACCTACCCGTGCGGACTCACAAGAGGTCCTACCATCAGTGAAAATGCAAACAGTATGCAAACAGTAACGTAAATTTGGATCTTAGACGTCATCCCGACCTATCTTGGGTTATTGATGAGTGCTTTCTCATCTTGAGGAGAAATAACAAGTGGTGCCTAGATGTTAACAACTAAGAATATAAATCTCCTTAAATTTTGTTAATCGAAGTCCAAAGGTTTGGAGGTTAACGCCTTAAAGTACATGTGAGTCGACTATTATCAAAGCCGGCAATCTGACTTTTCAACAATGATTGGTAAATCAGAAAAACGAATTATTGACTTTGTATTCCATTGGCAGTCACAAAACTCTTCGGAACGACATCTTAGATAAATAACAGGTTAACTATTAACCTTTATTTAATGCAGGTTTTGAACCGTATTCTTTGAAGGAGACGATTATATTAAAATCAATCTGTATTGACATATCAATAATTTTTTTTTGTCCAAATGCACAGATTGCCACCTTTGATAATAGACGACTCATGTGTCCTTTGATTTTCTTCTCACCTATAGAATAAACGTACAACGTAGAAGCTTGGGAGGCGATTTGTAATATTATTTAGGAGGACTGACTCTTAGATACCGACTGAGCTCTCGCTATAGCGGTCTTTAAGTGGATGATAAAATGGGGGCGCTAAAAAATAATTTGTTCTCAAAATGGGCAATAGACAAAATAAGTTTGGGAACACCTGCTCTAGATGTACAGTATTGTATTAATGGTTCACTTTAAATTTGCTTTAAAGAATCATATAAGTAACACAAAATTAAGGTCAAGATGTTAAAAACTAAGAATAAAAATCTCCTTATATTTTGTTAATCGAAATCTAAAGGTTTGGAGATTAACACCTTCCTTTTTCGTCCAATTTATAATTGTACAACAACATTATTCGCATTTTTCCTAGTCACCGATAAATTTAAAACAAACTAGCGCACGGCAGTCCGTGAACATTAAAAACCCGTTAACACATATTCCCCTTTGTTTCGTAGTGCTATTTGTGTATTTCTCAGTGATAAACATTGTATAAACGCGGAAATAATTCTATGACTGATTTGTTATGTTACTTACATATCTCTTTGTTTGAGCACCACGGCTGACATAGCTCTGATAATTAGTTAAGAAATTAAGTCCAAGTGCAGCGATATTTGAGTAATATCTATCGCATTTACAATCACAAGTTACCATCTCTCGCAAACATGAAAGTTTTTAATTATATTGTCATAGTTACAATTCTAAATTAATCTAATCTAGTCTAAAAATTTCTGCATAAGATTTATATTTGGTTTACGGAAATATGATCATGTATCTGAATTTCGCGCTAAACTCAAGTGGTTGCCAATTCGTCTTCGCCGTAATACTCATGTCCTTTAACTATATTGTATTCTATTTTACCCCCATAATTCCCCCCTATAATTTACCCCAAATATCTCGAAGAACGTTTCGAGCTCCTAGGTGATTTATCCCTGAGATCATCAGATAGCCTGAGACTGAAAATGCCGGCGCATTCTTCTTCATTCTTTGATAACTCATTCACCGTCCAGGCGGTTCGATTGTGGAATGCTCTGCCGGATGCAGTGAGAAGTACTCCGACTTTAAACTGCTTTAAAAGAATGGTGAAGGAACATTACCCATGCGCCTAGTGTTGTTTTCTTGTTTATGCTTTTTCCTTACTGTTAATTTATTATGTGTGTGTATGATATATTGGAATATAAATATAATAATATTTAACTGGTGGTAGGACCTCTTGTGAGTTCGCGCGGGTAGGTACCACCGCCCTGCCTATTTCTGCCGTGAAGCAGTAATGCGTTTCGGTTTGAAGGGTGGGGCAGCCGTTGTAACTATACTGAGACCTTAGAACTTATATCTCAAGGTGCGTGGCGCGTTTACGTTGTAGATGTCTATGGGCTCCAGTAACCACTTAACACCAGGTGGGCTGTGAGCTCGTCCACTCATCTAAGCAACAAAAAAATGTATGGTGATTTCATATTGTGTTTAACGGTGTATATATATTTATTGTATGTATGTATTTTCGTAAATAATGTGTTGCTAATAGTACACCGCAACATACCTGCTGTACCTTTATCTGTCCAGAATTTCGGGTAATTAAACGGTTGTCTGGAAGAAATCGCTTTTAGCGATAAGACCGCCTATTGTACAGACGTATCTGCTTGTTGACTGTTTTCTGATGTTATGTTTTGTTAAGTCGTCGTGGCCTAAAGGATAAGATAGCTGGTGTATTCGTATTTAGCGATGCACCGGAGTTCGAACCCCGCAAGCGGGTACCAATTTTTCTAATGAAATACGTACTTAAGAAATTTTCACGATTGACTTCCACGGTGAAGGAATAACATCGTGTAATAAAAATCAAACCCGCAAAATTATAATTGGCGTAATTACTGGTGGCAGGACCTCTTGTGAGTCCGCACGGGTAGGTATCACTGCCCTGCCTATTTTTGCCGTAAAGCAGTAATGCGTTTCGGCTTAAAGGTTGGGGCAGCCATTCACGTCAACCTCCTCGATAACTTTGTCGAGTACGACGACCTGTGTGAGAGTATATCGCACTGACTTAACCGACTTTATTAAAAGTTATAATGACATTTTGAATTATACTCTATGAGATAGATACATAATAATATAGTTCTAGTCATGACGAACTGACGAACAGATAACTGATTTCTGACATGGGCATCAATTAGCTATTAAATGTTGAGGTGTCATCAATTAAAAAGTGGAGAAGAGAATGCACTGCGCTCAAAACCTACTCATGCGCAATTCTTAGGTCTCTGAAGGAAATCATATCTCTTATTATACTTAATTAACCATTGATTATAAGCTAATATATCGCCTCTTCTGTTGTCTGATGGCTATTACGCTCCTTATATATCACTACGTGAATGACGCATGTAATCAACGTCAAAGTACTGTAAAACCAACCGTAGTAACCTCAAAATAAAGCCCAACCGCCAGTAAGCTTAGAGATGTTACACGCTAGATTTGGTTGTACTATTTTATTCCTTTATCGTGGTCGTCAGTCGGTTAGCTTTAGGTCAGTTTGTCCGGTCACCGGTAACCGAATCCGTCGCTTGCGACGAAGGGCTCGGCGAGTAAATTAACCCACAGACACAGCCCACTAAGTTTCTCGCCGGATCTTCTCAGTGGGTCGCGTTTCCGATCCGGTGGTAGATTATGCAAAGCACTGCTCTTGTTATGGCCAGTGCTAGCAACACCACCGGTTTGAGCCCCGAAAGCTACACCCTAGGGTAACGCTGATATAGCCACTCGAGTCTATCAGCATTGGTATTTAAAAAATTATTAAGTTGTATAATTCGATATGACAACACGCAGCGTCTCACCCTTTACGACAAAGATGTTACGCATAAAATAGAACAAAAAAAATATAACTTGCAATCAAGGTTAGACCGCATGCGGGAGGTATGCAAAACGCTTTGCAATCTGTGACAGCGATGAGCTCTTAAAGAGACGACGCGAAGGATTAGTCGCGTGTTAAAATTAATATAACGATGACAGTACTGGTTCGTTTATATTTAGTGACGTTTTTGTGTTTGTGGACAATTGTCGTAATCCAAGGGACTGATGTTGATAAATGTAAGTTTTTTTTCATAATTTTCTCGTCTTTTAATCGTCATTTTTTTAATGGCGCTGTACTAAACGCCTGCACGATACAAGCACACTGATTATTTCGTTTACTAATTATCAAAAATGAAAAGAAATTAATATAGTTATTTTAATAAAAATATTGAATATAAAATTATTAAATAAAGACAAAACGAATTGGTGGGGTTTTTTCGTGATTGTATTTCCTTTGACGTTAGTACTTCAAAGGAGATTTTCAGTGTAGTATTTACCTAGAATGAGTGACAAGTTATAGACCAAACTAAACTAGCATAAGTTATAATAGTATTGAGAGTATTCATTAAGAGTATTATGATTATTAGTTATAAGAGTATTAAGCGGTAGGCAGCGGCTTGGCTCTGCTCCTGGCATTGCTGAAGTCCATGGGCGACGTTAACCACTTACCATCAGGTGGGCCGTACGCTCGTCTGCCTAAAAAGGCAATAAAAAAAATAAAAAAAAGTATTTTTTTCTTTCATCCGCAATTTTACGTTATTTATACTAATATATAAATCTACAGTACTTTTTACGGATGTTCCGTTATAACTACTGAACCCTGCATCAGATTGACTTGAAACTTGGTATCAATGTAGAAAATACATGTACTTAATGGATAGGCTAATATTTATATGAGTGTTGGACTCCCTACACCAGTTGCGGGGGCGTTAATGATGAGAATCTTTGGGGAGGTGAGAAATAATAGTATTAATTTTAAATGCCCAGCGAAGCGGACAGGTACAGCTAGTCTTATAATGTTTTTGTATAATTTTTATGGTATTCCAACAGACGAGTTATCGGATCTTTTAAACGCCGCAATGTACACAATATCTCACGAGATAGAAGTTTCATTTGCATTCCATGATGGCTGCCACTTTTGAAGGCAAACGCTTCGTGGCAGAAGAAGTCTAGATGGTGTACCAGCACCCTAACCACCTGGCGTTAAGTGGGTGGCGAAGCTCATAGACCTCAAAACGTGCCACCATCTTTTTATTTCTTTATCAATCTTTTTTTTGGATTTAATAGAAAATTATAATCTACTTCTTAGTTCAGCTAACTACAAAAGCGTGTTTTTTATAATGATCTTTCAAACTATTATTAATTTTTGTTTTTGAAGTTATACTTCTTTAGGGGCGTTATGAAAAATTGATGAGAGTGAAATTTTACGATGCGCGCGCACCGTGACACAAAATTAACAGAATGAAGTTGCCCACTAAATCGCTCATTACAATACGACCGACGTAACTTGGCGAGTCTGAATATAGCCGCAGGAGAACTTTCGCGCATGTACACTCGTAAAAAAAAGTGTTATTAAGATTCATTTTTTAGTAATATAAATGACAAAATTATTATTTAATATAATTCATACTAAATATTATTAAATTATTAACGTTAAATATTTATTATTAATTATTTAATATTTAAAATAAAAAAGAAATAAATTTAATAAAAATAAAGTATAACTTCTTACGCGCGTACATAAGTACTCGCACCCTTTTTTTTATATATCATACGAAGCTAATTCAAACGGAATTTGAACACAGGCAATCTCGCATCGCTCGATACGAGCACACGAAGCGTCTTATCATTTAGGCCACGACGATTTCAAATTTGTATTATTCTAAACAAGAAACTATTAAGGCGTGCTTATGCTATCATTATTGTTCGCAGGCTCGAAGGGAAAAGGACCACTGCCCGCATCAGTGGAATTAGTTGGGTGCGAGAAACCAAGATGCAAGCTCCGTCGGGGTCAAATCGCTACTTTGAACCTAAAGTTCAACGCCCGTTGGTGTTAATTCAGCTTAATTATGACCTCATTGTCTAGTAACAGCTGCTCATTTTTTCCACATCTTTCATTTTCATCCGTAAAACAAAAACAACTCAATTTTTTTAAATACTTTTTTATTCACTGGTGGTAGGACCTCTTGTGAGTCCGTACGGGTAGGTACGACCACCCTGCCTATTTCTACTGTGAAGCAGTAATGCGTTTCGGTTTGAAGGGTAGGGCAGCCGTTGTAACTATACTGAGACCTTAGAACTTATATCTCAAGTTGGGTGGCGCATTTACGTTGTAGATCTCTATGGGCTCCAGTAACCACTTAACACCAGGTGGGCTGTGAGCTCGTCCACCAATCTAAGTAATAAAAAAAAAATTCACCTGTATCATCCATATAATCTTTAAGTAATTTTGATCAACTTCGAGACGCCAGATTGACCTGAAAATTTGTACACGCATCAAGGATCGATGTCACTATAAGCTACTAATTGCTGGTGGTTACTAACTATAGTTTGTTATTAAGTTCATTGAACGAAAAGTAAACAAAAATGATGTCTGGTGGAAAGAAACGAAAAGATAGATACAGAGGGTCGCCAGTTTCATGAAAAATGGACTGAAGAATTCTTTTTTATCTTGCATAATGGTAGGCCTATTTGTTTGCTGTGTAATAAACCTATTTCAGTGAGGAAAGAATCTATATATTAATACGTGAAGCAAAAACTTTGTATCCCTTTTTACGAAAATTGCGCGGACGGAGGAGTATGAAATTTTCCACACTTATAGAGAATATAGAGAAGAAGTGCACAATGCTAATATTTTTTTAAAATAATGCATAAAAGATACATTAAATCAATAAAGAAAACATTACACACACTACATACCATGTATTTGACGCACACACGCATGCATACTACTTATTGTCAAACTTTTGTTCTTGACGTCTGTTGTCAAATTGAGAATAGATTAATTAATGTTTGTCTTTATTAATATATTTTTATAGAGTAGCCTTGGTGAAATTTGTGATCATAGAAGTATAAAATACAATCATAATAGTGTACAAACTTACAATTCCAATTAATTATAGTCGAATTTCGACTACTGCGGGACCTCTAGTTGAATATAAAACGGCATTAGTACTCAACTAATAATGCTAAGCTGCACTCACTGACAGGACAATTAAGGGCAGACAAAATCTAGAAGCTTACCGCATTATTTTTTTATTGCTTAGATGGATGGACGAGCTCACAGCCCACCTGGTGTTAAGTGGTTACTGGAGCCCATAGACATCTACAACGTAAATGCGCCACGCGCCTTGAGATATAAGTTCTAAAGATCTCAGTATAGTTACAACGACTGCCCTAACCTTCAGACTGAAACGCATTACTGCTTCACGGCAGAAATGAGCAGGGCGGTGGTACCTACCCGCGCGGACTCACAAGAGGTCCTACCACCAGCAAATATGGAAAACCAGGAAGAAATGTTTCATAAACTTGATAATGTTTTGAAAGCTAGTTTTATAGTTAGCTCAAAATTGGCAAAGGCATTAAAACCATTTGCCGTAGGAGAATTTATCAAGGAGTGTAGTATTTTGTGTCCTGAAAAGAAAAATGAATTTGAAAAAATGATTTTGTCAAGACGAACTGTTGTTGTTCAAAGTGTTGTTGTTGATAAGGAGTTGACTATTACTGAGAAATTGCTTGCTTGAATTATTGAAGTTCAAAAGGTATTCACAAGTTTTGACTTGTAAGAAATAGGTCTCGCGTTGTAGTAGGCCTTGCGTTGTAGTAAGTCGCGCGTTGTAGTAGGTCTCGCGTTGTAGTGGGTCCCGCGTTGTAGTAGATCGCGCGTTGTAGTAGGCCTCACGTTGTAGTAGGTCTCGCGTTGTAGTAGGCCTCACGTTGTAGTAGTTCTAACGTTGTAGTAGGTCTCGCGTTGTAGGGAGTCTCACGTTGTAGTAGTTCTAACGTTGTAGTAGGTCTCGCGTTGTAGGGAGTCTCGCGTTGTAGCAGGTCTCGCGTTGTAGTGGGTCTCGCGTTATAGTAGGTCTCGCGTTGTAGAGGGTCTCGCGTTGTAGTGGGTCTCGCGTTGTAGTGGGTCTCGCGTTGTAGTGGGTCTCGCGCTGTATTCACGCCACCACGCGCCCGTGTCATCACCTCGTAGTAGGTGATGAACTTCTCTTTGGCGGCCGGCAGCAGCTCTACTACCACTGCAGCCGACCGCGGGGCGCGCGGTTTTCTCATAGCAGTTTTGCCCCTCGGCTCCGCTCTACCCTCTTCACGGGTAGTGGCGGCTGCAGGGGTGGGATTGGGAAGCGGCGCAGCAGGCGTCGCCACCTTCATGGGCCCGCGCCGCACTACCACGGTCCAGGCCTCGTCCATGTTGGTCAGGACCGGAGGAAGGGGACCGGACTGGGGAGTCGAGCCACTGACTAACGTAATATTGTCACGTAGATCTTGGTATATGTTTAATCTTAAATAACACGTTTTGTATACAATGATTAGACAGTATCTTAAGGCACATACTGACTGATTAAGAATATTGTTATAGCTGTTGCAAAGTACGACTGCTCGCCGTCAATGTAGGCGTGAGAGCACGTACGGTTAGCAAACAAAAAACTTAAGAAAAAAAAAACTTTTAAGATTTGACATGCCGACCGTACTTCGTGAACAATATGTGGAACTTGAGCAACGTGGAAACAATAAGTACAAGTCGACTGATGGCTCATTCGCTACTAATCATATATAACACATAAACTAATTATAGATAAGCAACTCAAACTTTCAACAAAAATGTTTACGGGCGTCGGCAACTAGATGGCTTCGCTTCGATTAGTTTCTCATTGCTCCTGTAGATGGCAGTAACATATACCCTATCCTAAATTTTATTTTTAATGAAGAATTTTGTAAATTTTCAGAAACCACTAACTGATAAAATTTACTCAATTTGTCTTTATCGAATAAAGACTTGTATGATTTATTTATTTATTTTTTCTGTGTTTAGTTACACAATAATTAAATGTCTTAAACTTTAACAACGTATAAGTTTAGGGGCATCCGTTACAAGATGTCGCTAGTTTCCATACAAAAAAGTATTTGTCTTAAAGTGTCGCAGTTTCAGGGCTCTGCTACTGACATATTAGGTGCTTATCTATGCTACTGACCTCTCCCTCGGGTGCACACACTAATGAAACTGTGTATTTACGATTACAACTACAAACAAAAGACACGCACGCTCGTACTTTGCAACAACTATACCAGTGCGCTTAGTGCGAGCTTTTAAACGTTATCGATAGCGTAAAACTTAACTCAAATTTGTATGCAGTCGGAACAGCGCCCCTAGCGGCAAACGTAGGCAAACGTTCCAACTCCATACAAATGTAAATTAACTTTTACGTTATCGAGAACGTTAAAAAACTCACACTCGTCACACTGTTATTTAATTTTTCGCCAAAAAAATTAAGGGATTCTCTTTTCCAGCTCACGCCATCCGTTCCAACTCCATACAAATGTAAATTAACTTTTACGCTATCGAGAACGTTAAAAAACTCTCACTCAGCACACTGCTATTTCATTTTTCGCCAAAAAATAAAAAGATTCTCTTTTCCAGCTCACGTCATCCGTTCCAACTCCATACAAATGTAAATTAACTTTTACGTTATCGAGAACGTTAAAAAACTCACACTCGGCACACTGTTATTTAATTTTTCGCCAAAAAAATAAAAATATTGTCTATTCCAGCTCACTGTTTCAACTCCATACAAATGTAAATTAACTTTTACGTTACTCCATACAAATGTAAATTAACTTTTACGTTTTTCGAGAACGTTAAAAAATCTCACACTAAGCACAGTTATTTAATTTTCACTAAAAAATAAAAAGGTTCTCTTTTCCAGCTCACGCTATCCGTTCCAACTCCATACAAATGTAAATTAACTTTTACGTTATCGAGAAAGTTAAAAAATCTCACGCTAAGCACAGTTATTTAATTTTTCGCCAAAGAAAATAAAAATATTGTCTTTTCCAGCTCACGCCATCCGTTTCAACTCCATACAAATGTAAATTAACTTTTACGTTATCGAGAACGTTAAAAAACTCACACTCGGCACACTGTTATTTAATTTTTCGCCAAAAAAATAAAGGGATTCTCTTTTCCAGCTCACGCCATCCGACACATGCACACGAAGGCCTCAGCCAAAGCGTACTTGGCCCTGTTCTTCCCAGTGACTTACAAACTAGAACTCGGGGACATGGAGAAGACTTGCCGATTCCTCACTAACACAAAATGTCCTATACCGTCCGGTCAAGAAGTGCACTTTTCACTAGAGATCCTAATAGAAGATGACTTTCCTAAGGTCAGCGTTCGAAGTTTCATAATCACTACATAGTATAAAACAAATTCGCTTTCTCTGTCCCTATATGCCTGTCCCTATGTATGCTTAAATCTTTAAAACTACGCAACGGATTTGGATGCGGTTTTTTTAATAGATAGATTGATTGAAGCGGAAGGTTTGTATGTATAATAACATCCATTAACTAGTGGAGAAATCAATAATAAATTACAGTTTCCGAAGCGAGGGCGGGTCGCTAGTCTATACCATAAAAATGAATTGCTGTTCGTTAGTCTCGCTAAAACTCGAGAACGGTTGGACCGATTTGGCTAATTTTGGTCTTGAATTATTTGTAGAAGTCCAGAGAAGGTTTAAAAGGTAGATAAATATGAAAATGCTCGGAATTAAATAAAAATCACAATTTTGTTTTTCCTTTGATGTGTCTCCCGTCGGACGGATTCCCCGGTCACCGTCGTCGTCGCTTGCGCCGAAGGGCTCGACGAGTAAATTAATCCACAGACACAGCCCACTGTGTTTCTCGCCGGATCTTCTCAGTGGCTCGCGTGTCCGATCCGGTGATAGATTCTGCGAAGCACTGCTCTTGCTAGGGTCAGTGTTAGCAACTCTCCTGTTTGAGCCCCGTGAGCTCACCTACAAACGTTAGGGCGAAGCGGAAATAGCCTCTCAAGGCTATCAGCATAGGTAGGTAAAAAAAAAAAACGGATTCCTTTTGTTTGTTTTAAGTTTATTTTAGGTCTTTTATTTATCGATTGAGGCACTACGAAGTCTGCCGGGTCAGCTAGTAGGTCATAATTATGAAACACATGCCTTCCCGCGGAGACCTTGTTAGTCTTAATCTCATCATTGGGTGAAAACAATGATCGTCTAACCCATTAGGCCACGGACGATCTCCGACCTCATGTAATTAGTTGACCATATAATTTATTCTATGGTGTAAATGCCTTCCGGACAAATAAAAAGATATATGACGTCGCCAGACAGCTAGAGATGGTTAATAATGAACCCAGAGTTGAAAAACTCTAAGCTCAGTGCGAGTTTTTTTTATTGCTTAAATGGGTGGACGTGCTCACAGCCCACCTGGTGTTAAGGGGTTACTGGAGCCCATAGACATCTACAACGTAAATGCGCCACCCACCTTGAGATATAGGTTCTAAGGTCTCAAGTATAGTTACAACGGCTGCCCCACCCTTCAAACCTGCTTCACGTCAGAAATAAGCAGGGCGGTGGTACCTACCCGCGCGGACTCACAAGTGGTCCTACCACCAGTAAAAAGTAGTTTCAAAAACATCAATTTACATTAAATACCAGGAAATTGTGTAACACGAACGATTGACAAACATTTTTATTGACAAGAGAATAAGAGACAAATGTAATCATATTGAAAAAAAAAGTCAATAATTTTACACGGAAATCGTAAATTCCATGTTCATCTTTTCAGAATCAACAATTGACAGTCGAGTTCATCATAGAAGACCAGGACAACAGACCTCTTATTTGTGCCGAGCTGCCAATTGTAATTGTATAGCTTAGAAATTATATTGCAATAATAAATCAATAAGAAAACGAGGATGTTTTAATCGAATGCTTAGTGCAAAATGAGTTTTTTTTTTTTTTTAAATTAAACTTAGTTGCGCGCAAGGTAAACTTTTTACGGATGAAACGCAATAATAATAATATAAAAGACACAAAAATGTGGGACGTTTTCGTCAAAGAAGAGGGAGGGAGCGATCGAGACCGATTTGCCCACTGAGTTTCTCGCCGGATCTTCTCAGTGGGTCGCGTTTCCGATCCAGTGGTAGATTCTGCGAATCATTGCTCTTGCTAGGGCCAGTGTTAGCAAAATTTCCGGCTTGAGCCCCGAGAGCTCACCTACATGGTGGGATTAATGTCAATGCGCCACTCCGGAACCACTGTCCCATAGTGGTTGCTGCGGTCTGGAGTTGCCGAAGCAATAACGACTTCTTCTTACACGAGTAGTAGATAGCCGTGTCAAGATTCGAATTCATAGCATTCATATCACAGCAAAATTATCTAAAATAATAATCTAATATAATCTAAATAATATTCTTCTTCTTTTTCTTCACCTTATCCCACTAGGTGGGGTCGGCACAGCTAATTTTTCTCGTCCATTCTCTTCTATCAGCCCTCAGCTCAACACTCATCCCTCTCTTTCTTATATCGTCATTCACACACCATCCATGTCTTCTTCGGTCGACCTCTTCCTCCCCTACCTTGCACTGCCATTTCCATACATCTCCTAGTCACAAGCATCAAATAACATTAGCTAATAAATAATAATAATATTAAAATAAAGAGTGCAATTAATTTAAAAAAGTAAACATTAACTCCTACTTTTTTGAAAAAGAAGTTCATTAACTAATTACAATGCTAAGCTTTGGCCTGTAAAAGTGTTCCTTAATAATAGAAGAAATACAAAAACTGCTTATGTGGGCATTTATTTATATTGTAGAAATTAAACAAAGCATTTCGGGCGTAATATCAAACGAACATGCCAGCATGCTCAACTAGCGCCATCTAGTTTCGTTGCGTTATAAACATGTTCACTTAGGTGGTGTGTTTTGGTCGGGCTTGTTAGGGGCGGAGCGATCGTGATTGGAACTCGGAGGCACAAAACAGGTACATCTCGTTCATCCACGATCCTGAATTCGATTGTAACCGAAGTGCCCTGAAAGGAAATGGTTATCAACATCTAGAAAGTACTTTGCATTCGTTAGCTAACTAAAATTTTAGCACACGAAGCAAGATAAAGAACTGTTACGCTGGTAAGAGTAACGCCATCTATCGCCGAATAGTCGAGCGATACAGAATCCCCGAGAATCACAACGCCATCTATTGACAGATAGCAGAAACTACGACTAGAAATGTGTAGAATATTCTTGATCACCCGTAGGGAAGCAGAACAAGCGAATTGAGAGTTTTAAGGTGTTTGTGAAGTGTTATGTAGTTGAAGTGATGAAGTTATGCAATGTGATTATGAATGTGGTGATGAAAGAGAATTCTAAAGAGAGAGATTCTAAAGAGAATCAAATCTATATTGTCACCATGAGTTTTCAGGCATTACTGCCGCGAAGAAATTATTGATTTCCGGTTCGAAGGGTGGAAGTTGGAACATCTACTACATAAAACGATAAGACTTCGGACGGGTGTTTCTTTGTGGGGTTCAGAATGCTGTTATTCTTGTGGTGAAGTCGATGAGGCCGGGTAACTATCTAATACCAGACGGATCAGGAGATTCTTTAGGCTTTTAGAGGAAAAAAGAAACTCTAATGTATTGTAGTTAGACAATGGTCGTCCGAAATTTGAATTTTTTTTTTTTATGGGTAGACGAGCTCACTGCCCACCTGGTGTCAAGTGGTTACTGAAGCCCATAGACATCCACAACGTAAATGCGCCACCCACCATGAGATATAAGTTCTAAGGTCTCAAGTGTAGTTACAACAGCTGCCCCACCCTTCAAACCGAAACGCATTACTGCTTCACGGCAGAAACAGGCAGGGTGGTGGTACCCACCCGCGCGGACTCACAAGAGGTCCTACCACCAGTAAAAATAAAATAGTTATGCAAAACCAAGTGCAGCTTCTGAGAGTTCTGGTTAGTTCGCTTAAAAAAAAAGTATCATCTTCACCTGAGGGAAGAACGGCTCGATGAACATTCTCAACGTGTAGGTTGCAACCTCGCCAGCCAGCAGCGGGCAGTAAGTGTTTGTGAGGAAGTTGCAGGTGATGGCGTGATCGCCGAGATCGTACGGGACCGGCACGTTGTGGATCCCGATGTTTATGTAAGCCGTGGCTAACGTTTTCATATTGCGGATAACGCGAGCTGTCAGAGAAAAGATTGTAAATGTGTATTTCTATGTTTTTTTTTTATTGTCCTTGTAGGCAGCCGAGTATACGGCCCACCTGATGGTGAGTGGTTACCGTCGCCCATGGACTTCAGCAATGCCAGGGGCAGAGCCAAGCCGCTGCCTACCGATTTGTTGACGACGGCTTAGTATGAGCAGAGTTTCTCGTCCACGCGTAGCTGAAATAGCTCCTAAGGTATTAGCGAATAGTTGGGAGAAAAAAACAATTTCCTGATTGCAGTTTGGCTGAGCAGACGAGTTCACAACCGGTCTTAGATAGATAGAAAAAAAAAAGTGTGTGTGTGTGCAAGTCACACACGGTAGAAGTGAAACTTATAAATAAGATATAGATATACTGACTATCACACTACACAGGAGCATACATATGGACAATGTTTAGTAGACGATAGTGGGGTTGCTACGAAGAGTCGCACAAAGAGGAGACCGAGAATATCTAATGTGTTCTATCTCATTCTCTCGCCGGCTGAATCCTATACATTTATGTGTTTGTGTCTCTATGGACTTATTTTTTCGTTTCATCGAGTTTGAAATCACAACGATTCTAAAGAAGTTTCACTTCAAAAACATAACTTTTTTTTCATACAAATTTGTCAAATCCATTCGCGCAATTAAGGGAAATTTTGATTTTTTAAGTCTTAATTTTCGTAAATAAAAAAAAAATCAAGATGCTTTGCTGATGCTACTTTTGTGGGATGCACTTACGTGCTTGGAATACGATGTCAATAACGCAGTCCTGCAGCTGTGGCAGAGAGCACGGCGGCTCCGAACATCCGTGGATGTACGTGTTTACGGGAAGGTTTCCCTCGTTTCTTATACCTTAAACACATTAGTAAGTTAATATAGTTAGAAATGATAAAACATCAAAATTAAGTACTAAAATCGAGCTAGTAATAATAATCTTTAAAGGTTTTTATTTATTTCATTTTCATTGCTTAGATGGATGGCCGCTGGTCCGATCAGATTAAGACGACTTTGGACTCCAGCATCAATGTCACTATCCACTGCGCGAAGGACAGGAATGAATGAAGGAACACAGTCCTAATAAAAGTGCTCCGTAAAGGTCACGACCCTCCGCACTGAGGAGTACGGTGCACGGAGGAGGAGATGGGGGCCGAGCTCACGGCCCACCTGGTTTTAAGTGGATACCGGAGCCCATAGACATCTACAAAGTAAATGCCGCCACCCACCTTGAGACATGAGTTGTAAATCTCAGTTTTACAGTACAACGGCTGCTCCACCCTTCAAACTGAAACGCATTACTGCTTCACGGCAAAAATAGTCGGAGTGGTGATACCTACCTGTACGGGCCCTTAAGACGTTCTAACACCAGCAAAAGAGTGTTGTCGGTAAGGTTACACTCTGAAGGCAGTAGAACACTACCCGATGGTAAGTGGTTCATCTAATTTCTACCGTTAAAGCTCAAAAGAGACCGTTTAAAATTACTGTAACAGATGAGGATATCGACATGAAGGAAATATTTTGTCATTTGATTATGAACTCTATTAAGGTTTGGTTTATTGCTCGTTTTCAAACATCTCTCAAGACCGCCGTGTGATCCACTAAGTTCGTCTATGTACCCTTGTGGCGCTTAATCGGTCGTTCAAAATAGAATTCATATTATTAAGTATTTCTTCGAAATATACTAGTGGTAGTACCTCTCTTGAGTCCGCGCGGGTGGGTACTACCACCCTGCCTATTTCTGCCATGAAGCAGTAATGCGTTTCGGTTTGAAGGGCGGGGCAGCCGTAACTATACTTGAGACCTTAGAACTTATATCTCATAGTGGGTAATGCATTTACCTTGTGGATGTATATGGGCTTCAGGAACCACTTAACACCAGGTAGGCTGTGAGCTCATCATCATCATCAACAGCCCACAGTCGTCCATAGTCGGACATACGCCTCTCCCAATCCACACCACTGAGCCCGGTCTACGGCTCTCCTCATCCACTTCTTGTGAGCTCGTCCACCCATCTAAGCAATAACAAAAAAATAACAAAAAATTCGTCGCTGTGGCAACGTGTGGTTATTTGTGGCGTAGAAAACGTGAGATTATCTGTGAAACTTACATTGACTAACCCCTGTGGTCTGTCCACTGACAAGCGTTATACAAACACCGAACAATAAAAACAGAAGCGACATTTTTATTGTAGATTTAAAATTAAATTTAAACTTTTAATTAACTACTTTGCACGATTATCGATTTGTCCATTTTATAACAACAACAACGACCCTTTTATACAAAACATTATCGATTTTTGATAAATAATTCCTCCAATCACGTAAATTGGTAAGTCATTCATTGAACACCTGCGTTTCGATATAAATCCTTTGACGACAGCTTAAGGAAGTCCTTGCCGGGCTTGGGCAAGGACAGGCGAACACTTTCGCGAGCTTTAAAGTACCTGGGACGTAGCCTGTGGATAAAATGGAATTGAACAGCCGTGTAATACTTGACACGACTGCTTCAGGAAAAATGCAAGAGGGGAATACCGTCCTCACCCGCTGCCTTGCGTCCCTTCAACCGCTTAAAGAACATCTGTGCAATAAATAGCTTACTATAAAGTCAATGATTATCTAGAAGATTGCACAAAGTGGGAATGAGTTGCTCGCTCCGGGCATTTCAATATTGCAATAATTGTTACGTTATAATACTCATTGTAAAAATGAATATTTAAAAAACAATTAATATTAAAAAAAAAAAAAAATATTTAAAAAAAAAGACATGCCCGTTTCTTGCCAGTTCTTTTCAGGACGGAGGCTAGTTTTTGTGAATTGAAGGTAGTTCTTTTTGACGTTCAACAAGTATGTACTTTCATTTATGTTGAATATTTTTTTTTTTATTTGATTTGAATAAAGAGGCGGAACTCGGAGGGAGTAAAAAAGCCTTCAGTTCCCAGTGAAGGCGCCGGGGAGGAGAGTAGGTTATCTACGCTCTCTTCCACCGACTGGTGGAATACGGAGACCAGACGCAGAGTCGTTAAGAGCGAAGTGTCGCTCCAGCGATTCGGCCAGGATATCGGCGGGGGCCTTGGCCGGGAAGCAAAAGCCCCCTCCTTCGTTCACTAGAGTACAAACGGAGTTAGGCCGATTGGTAACTGGCGACTAAGACGATGGAAGGAGACGATCGAGGGGTCGCCACGAGCCGTCTCTATTCGCTCCTCTCATACCTCTCATCAATGGATGCTAATCCTCGTCGCCAGTTCTGCTTCCAACCCATTAAGCTCGCGCTTTATCCAGGGACAAAGAGTTGTCGCCAAGAGTCCGTAGACTCCTCTTCCGGCGAATCATCGCTTTCCGATGAGCCGGGAGTCTGTAACTGAACCCGACGCTGGGTATAGGAGTCGTTGCCTGGTTAATCGCTCCCCTGATGGAGTCGACAAGACGGGATGCCATATCGTCAACCCCATCAGGGGTTATAGGATCCTGGACTACGGTAAGGTAGCCTAGGAAGTTTTTAAAGCGGTCCCAGTCGACCTTCAGTCAAAAGGTCGCGACCCGAGTAAGTCCCACTCCCACGGTGACCAAAATGAGGAGGTGGGGGGTGCTTAGGTCGTAAAGCGCCTCTGTCGTCACGGAGCGCTGTAGCCTCTTGTGCACACACACATGTCGAACACGTCTGGCCTACAGCTAAGATTCGTGGGAACGTGCGTGGGCTCGTCGGGGCTGACCGCACAGTAGTCGCCCCTATCCGCATCTTCTAACGGCCGCCTGCCCACTGCTGAGTTAAGTCGGGAGCCCCACGCAATATACTTCCCGGTGAGGCCTCCTGACCAGCAGGCCTATAATAATAATAATAATAATAATAATAATAATAATAGCCGAATTTCAAAAGTATAGATATCGGAAGCCCGGAACCCCCGGTCATGCATCAACGGTCACCGCACATCCACCAAACACACTCGCCGACTCAAGGCGACCCACGACAAATTAAGCTTGAAATTGCTGATTCAATCAATCTTTTTCGTATACGTCCTTACGGATCCATCAGATCCAATTTTTTCTAACCTAACCCATGCATCAGCCCGCTTAGTTTCTCGCTAGATCTTATCGGCGGGTCGCGATTCCGATCTTGTAATAGATTAATTCGCCAAGCAGCTACTCTTCAGTTGTTAGGTTTTTTTTAGGTCTCTGGTAGCTATTTTTTAATATAGTTTTTTACATTTAACTAAAGTAGTTATGTAGGTACAATTTTGTTCGATAACATTTGCCATCTTGTAGGTAGGGACATGATCCCATTGCCATAGAAATTTTGGGGCTTCTGATCAAAATACCGCGACCATTGGTTTTGGCAGTCCTCTCATGATGTTAACCTGACACTGCTTAAAGAATTCTAAAGAGACCGAAACCAATGGAAATCTGAAGGTGCAAGGTCAGGACTATACGGCGGATGCATTAAAACCTCCCAGCCAAGCTCTCTTAATTTTTGCTGAGTGGCTAAAGATGTGTGAGGTCTAGCGTTATTATGATGAAAAGCCACACCCGTTCTGTTGATTAATTCCGGCCGCTTTCTCTCAACTTCTTGCTTTAATCTCATCAGTTGTTCGCAGTAGAGTTCAGAATCGATGGTCCTGCCTGGTGGTAACAGCTCATAATGAATAATGCCCTTCCAATCCTACCGCACACACAGCATCACCTTGTTGCGAGTTAACCCGGGTTTCGCCACAGTCTGTGAAGCCTGATCGGCCTTTGACCACGACCTTTTTCGCACATTCTTTTCGTACGCGGTGATCTACTTATTATCATCAGTTATCAGCTTCTTCACCTTCAAAAATGGTTCGGTTTCATTACGTCGTAACAAATGAGTACACGGTTCATTCGGTTTCTTTTAATGAGCTCGTGAGGTACCCAAATATCGAGCTTTTTTGTGTACGCAGTTTTTTTCAAATGCGCCAAACCTGTTTTGTGATCAATTCCCAGTTCTTCAGCTACGTCGTAACTAGTGATATGCCAATCTTGCTCCACTTTTTCAAAAATGGCATCCATTTTATCCGTAATAGGGCGACCAGAGCGACGTACATCTTCGACATCAAAATTTCCGAATTGAAAAGCCCAAACCAAATTTGTGCTACTATCACAGACACTGCACTAGGTCCATAAACATCGCAAATTTTTTTCGCGGCTTGCGTTGCATTTTTACCTTTTTTGTAGTAAAATTTTAAAATGTATCGAATTTCTTCATTAGATTCACTCATCTTGACAGTACGAAAAATAAATAAAAATCACACATTTTCCTAATTTGAATTTGAAATTGTCTTCTTTAAAATTTAAACTTTTAATGATACCAAAACCAGCCAGATACAAATAGTATAGAGAGAAAGAGATTTTATTACAAGTTCATACATACTATAATGCGAAAAGACTTTTTCCCCAACCTATGATTATAACAGGGACAGTCGTCAGTCAGAATATATTTATAATTTAAAAAAAGTTATTTTTTAAGAAAATGTAAAACTAAATGAGTGTAGATAGATGTAAAGGAATTCTGTAAATTCGAAAAGGAGTTTTGTTTTTACGATCGAAAATAAAAGAACTATCTCTATTGGCAAAGTGGCTACGTCAGTACATGGAATCCGTCAGGTGTGCACGAACAGATGGTGGTTGAGATAAGGACCTGCGATAACGGATTCTATTGAATTTTTGTTATGGAATTGATGATAATGTTGATGGAATAAAATTTTAAAATGATTAAATATTACGATCTGAGACTAAAAACTGGCTACCAAGACGAAATCTAATGACTAACTAACTATTAGCTCCTTACATATTATATAAAATTGGGATTTAGTACGGGAGGAATAAGTTTTTTTTTTTTGTAAAATATATTTCATTCGTTGCGGCTGGCCATCGGCGAAACCAAAAAACAGAGCATGAGCACTCTCCTGGGGTCGCTTGATGATGTTCCCTGCGGGCGTCCATACATAATGGTTCACAGAAAACTGCAGCCGAGGGTGCTCCCGGTGACCGAGCGGCTTTCAGCCTCGGCAGTTGTGAGAAATTGTTAGGTACATCGTTATTCCTGCCCGCAGCAGGGAGAAATTTCTCTCCGGATCTTCTCAGTGGGTCGCGTTTCCGATCCGATGGTAGATTCTGCGAAGCACTGCTCTTGCTAGGGCCAGTGTTAGCAACACTCCGGCTTGAGCCCCGTGAGCTGACCTACACTACTTTACTACTAAAGCTCACACCATAGATAATACACTTAATGCTCACACAAGAGTGACGTACGTTGGATAATAATGCTTGTTAAATGGTCGATGTCAGATAGGAAGGGAAAGGAGTTTCATTATAAAAAAAACCACAACAGACTCATGATCCTCGAGTCGTCTTCGTTTTTTTTCTTAGCTGTGTGGTCAATCTTCCGGTCCGCCTAGTGTTAAATGGTTACCGAAGCCTAAATACAGCAACAATGACGATCACTCCATCTGCTAGAAGCACGTACAACGCCGTTGCTTAGAATATTGAAAATGTTTATCTCTTTAGCTACTAGATGGCGCTATTACGAAATAAAATTTAAACACAATTTAGAGATTACTGAATATTTTTTTAATGTTGCACTGCTACTTCTATCAACATAATGCCAACAAAAGAAAAAAATATACAAAAACAGAAAATGCTCAAGACATATTGGAAATAAAATTATATCGCGGGGTGAAAAGCTACTTGATTCAAGCGACAATTTTCCGACTTTACGGGAGAGCCCTTAGAGTATACATACTATAGAGCGCGCGCATCGCTCGTTGTCTTGATTTATTTCCAACTATTTATTTCCAAAGCAAGCCAAGTAAGGAACGAAAACACTAATACTACTGTTTGTTCATAGATAAATAGATAGATAGAAGTAAGATTATTCTTGATAGCATTTTCGTGTCAGGTAGCAACAGTACTGATCAATGTTTTTGTGAAAATTCCTAAGTACCACAACAAAATCTTAAGTCTGTAATACACGGAAAGATTTCGCGTAATAAATACCCTACGGTTTTATTTAAAAATCGACTTACGAACACAAAAAAAAAGATATGCCTACAATAATTATAAATCTATTCAAAACTATATCAGGGACTAGTTAATTTAAATAATGGCTGACTTTGATTCCGATACATTCTCGATTGTTATATCACCGTTAAAATCACTAATGTAGACATTAGATAAGATAAAACGTATAACTAAGCTCGACCTAACCTGCATAAGCTATCGTCTAAGGATTATATCGGAGCGCAGGTGTTCAATGAATCAATTACCAATTTACGTGATTGGAGGAATTATTTATCAAAAATCGATAATGATTTCTATAAAACCCTTGTTTCAATGGACAAATCGATAAACGTGCCAAGTAATTAAAAGTTTAAATTTAATTTTAAATCTACAATAAAAATGTCGCTTCTGTTTTTATTGTTCGGTATTAGTGTAACGCTTGTAAGTGGACAGACAACAGGGGTTAGTCAATGTAAGTTTCCCAGATAATATCACGTTTTCTACGCAACAAATTACCACACGTTGTCACAGCGACGAATCCTGACATGTTTCAAAGAAATAATATAATATTTTATCTATATCTATACTAATATTATAAAGAGGAAAGATTTGTTTGTTTGTTTGTTTCGAATAGGCTCCGAAACTACTGGACCGATTTGAAAAATTCTTTTTCCATTAGAAGCCGACATTGTCCCTGATGAACATAGGCTACTTTTTTTTTTTTGTTTTTTGTTTCATGTGTGTTTTAATGTTTCCGAAGCGAAGCGAGGGCGGGTCGCTAGTTGCAAATATTTAGATACTTTAGTTAAGATTCCTCAAAATCTTTACTTTAGCCAAACAATAAGATATAAATAATTTTTCTTTTCCTTCTTTCCCGATTAAGTTCTTCCCGAGTAATTTAAAACAAAACTCAATCCGGATTAGCAGCATCAGAGTTCATTCACATATGAATTGAGATATTTCGATATTTTAGTTAAGCTTCCTCTAAATTTTTATTTCAGCCAAACAATAAGATATAAAAAGATTTTTCCTTTCCTTCTTTCCCGATGAAGTTCTTTCCGAGTAATTTAAAACAAAACTCAATCTGGATTNACTCGGCAACGACAAGTCGGTTCCTATTTTTGCGACGAGGACACGGCGCCACCCCTCCCATGCGGGGCAGGCGACGAGCGTATGCTCTGCCGTGTCCAAGTCGCAACCACAATGGTGGCACTCTGCCGTCGGCTCGGCTGTGATCCGGTGCAGGAACTCACCGAAACAACCATGCCCAGTGAGCACCTGCGTAAGCCGGAAAGTGAGGCGTCCTCTGTCACGATTCACCCAATCCACAAGGACCGGGCGAATCGCCTCGACGGTCCTACGACCAGCCGAAGGATCAGCCAGCCGTCTGGACCATGACTCCAGCACGGACCGCCGAGATTGGGCCCTCCGTGCTCTGACCACACTGGGGCTGGGACGCGCCACGCCCCGGGCACGAAGTTCAGCCCGCCACCTATAGTCAGCGGCGAGCGCCTCCGCTTCCAGAACCCAAGGCGGCGTCCCAGCCAGTACACACGCCGCCTCAAAGGAGATGGTGCGATAACCACGGATGACCCTGACCGCGATGTTGCATAATGGTAGGCCTATTTGTTTGCTGTGTAATAAACCTATTTCAGTGAGGAAAGAATCTATATATTAATACGTGAAGCAAAAACTTTGTATCCCTTTTTACGAAAATTGCGCGGACGGAGGAGTATGAAATTTTCCACACTTATAGAGAATATAGAGAAGAAGTGCACAATGCTAATATTTTTTTAAAATAATGCATAAAAGATACATTAAATCAATAAAGAAAACATTACACACACTACATACCATGTATTTGANAAATCATATTTTTTTTGGTTATCACGATAATAGCCAACTTACCTAGTAACTATACTGAGACCTTAGAACTCATATCTCAAGGTGGGTGGCAGCATTTACGTTGTAGATGTCTATGAGCTCCGCTAACCAGTTAAAACCAGGTGGGCTGTGAGCTCGTCCACCCAAGCAATAAAAAAAATCTAGAAGTCCTGTATAGACTACAAGCCGACCCGGCAGACTTCGTTGTGCCTCAATCGATAAATAAAAGATCTAAACTTTTGTGTAAAATAAACTTAAAACAAACAAAAGGAATCCGTCCGACGGGGGAAACATCAAAGGGAAAATAATTTTTAATAAAATTATTTAATTCCGAGCATTTTCATATTTATCTATCTTTTAAGCCTTCTCTGAACTTCCATAAATAATTCAAGACCAAAATTATCCAAATCGGTCCAGCCGTTCTCGAGTTTTAGCGAGACTGACGAACAGCAATACATTTTTATTTAAATAGATTATTACTAGCTCGATTTTAGTATTTCATTTTGATGTTCTTTTCATTTCTAACTATATGTTTACTAATGTGTTTAAGGTATTAGAAACGAGGGAGACCTTCCGATAAACACGTACATCCACGGATGTTCGGAGCCGCCGTGCTCTCTGCCACAGCTACAGGACTGCGTTATTGACATCGTATTCCAAGCACGTAAGTGCATCCCAAAGAAGTATATATTATTATTGTACGAAAAGAAATATAAAGAGTTAAAAGTCGAAGTCTCAGAGGTCAGGATTTTTTGATGATGAATGGTACCCGTCACACATGGACGTCAGCAATGTGGGACCGCTAAGCATCTCTGACCACCGCTGAGGACTCCTATTAACAATGATCTAATTAGTGCTTTTTTTTCCTACCTGTGCTGATAGCCTTGAGAAGCTATTTCAGCGTAACCTTAACTAGTAGGCGAGCTCGCGGGGCTCAAACCTGACGACGTTGCTAACACGAACCCTAGCAAGAGTCGTGCTTCGTAGAATCTACCACCGGATCGGAAACACGACCCACTTAGAAGATCCGGCGAGAAACTCAGTGGGCTGTGTCTGTGGGTTAATTTACTCGTCGAGCCCTTCGTCGCAAGCAACGGGTTCAACGGGAACGATGACCGGTGCTTGAGGTACCTAAAAGCACCATTAGTGAATAGGGAGGACCCGAATTGACGTGTTTTGGGCGATGTCGACCGCTTTCAATTCTGTCCGCAGGATCGGGAATGACGCGTGGACGCGAAACTGTACTCACACTAAGCCATCTTCAATCAAAAACACGAAATACACATTAACAATATTTTTTCAATAAATTACTTTTCTCTGACAGCTCGCGTTCTTCGCAATATGAAAACGTTAGTCACGGCCTACATGAACCTGGGAGTCATCAATCTGCCGATCCCGTACGATCTTGGCGAACACGCCATCACCTGCAACTTCCTCACAAACACCTACTGCCCGCTGCTGGCAGGCGAGGTTGCGACCTACACGTTGAGAATGTTCATCGAGCCGTTCTTCCCTCAGGTGAAGATGATACTTTCAAAACGTTGTCCCGGGGATTTTAAGCGAACTAATAAGAATTCTCTGAAACTACGCTTGGTTTTAAATAACTGTTTTATTTTTATTCAAATTTCAGACGACCATTGTCTAACTACAATACATTAAAGTTTCTTATTTCCTTTAAAAGCCTAAAGAAGCTCCTGATCCGTCTGGTATTAGATAGTTACCCGGCCTTATCGAATTCACCACCAGAATGCTGCCACCCCACTAAAAAACAGCCGTCCGAGTCTTACTGTTTTATGTAGTAGATGTTCAAACTTCCACCCTTCGAACCGGAAATCAATAATTTCTACGCGGCAGTAATGCTCGAAAACTCATGGTGACAATAGTGATTTTATTCTAAAGAAGTGCTAGCCAGTTTATTATTTTTTTTCCTACCTAAACTGATAGCCTTGAGAGGCTATTTCAGATTAACCTAACATGCTAACAACTAGGTAAGCTCACGGGGCTTAAACCTAATCACGTTGCATAGTATTTTATCTTGATTCGTGTTAAAATTTGAGGAACCTACCTAGCTAACGATAGCAAAGAATGAATGCAATATTTTCTAGATTTTAATGTGCATTTCCTTTCAGGGTACTGCGGTTACAGTCGAATTCAGGGTCGTGGATGAACGGAATGTACCCGTTTTGTGCCTCCGAGTTCCAATCACGATCGCTCCGCCCTTAACAGGCCCGACCAAAACACACCACCTAAGAATTGAACATGTTTACAACGCAACGAAACTAGATGACGCTAGTGTTCAACATGCTGACATTTTCGTTTGATATTACGTCCTAAATACTATGTATGCCAATTTTTAGATTAAATAATAAATGCCTATAAAACCAATTTTTGTATTTCTTCTATTAATAAGAAACACTTTTACAGTGCACAGCTCAATCGTAATTGGTGAACTTCTTTTAAAAAAAGTATGAATTGATATTAGGTATTATTTACTTCCATAAATTAATTGCACTCTTTATTTAAGCTATTAAAATGTAATTTATATTTAGCAAATTTAGCTATGATATGAATGCTGTGAACTCGAATCTCATTAATATTCAATTTGACATCATTACATAGGTACGATTACATTGCCGAACTTCACGAGCGACAGAATTCTTTTTTATTGCTTAGAAGGGTGGACGAGCTCACAGCCCACCTGGTGTTAAGTGGTTACCGGAGCCCATAGATATCTACAATGTAAATGCGCCACCCACCTTGAGATATAAGTTCTAAGATCTCAAGTATAGTTACAACGGTTGCCCCACCCTTCAAACCGAAACGCATTACTGCTTCACGGCAGAAATAGGCGGGGTGGTGGTACCTACCCGCGCAGACTCTCAGAGGTCCTACCGCCAGTGAGAGAGAATTTGTTTTCATTACGATGCACTGAACTCTAGCTCCCCATTCGACAGAATTTTTAATTAATGTTATCTACGTGTTCGCTCATTGATAAAAACTCGGCAATTATCAAGACAATTCACCACTACCCCTAAAGATTTATATTAAAAATGTATGAGTATTAATTTTCAAAATGATTTTTTATTGCTATAACATTATTAGCTGCTCCCATAGACACAGCCCACTGAGTACTACACGGTAGGCAGCGGCTTGGCTGGCTTTGTCTCTGGCATTGCTGAAGTCCATGGGCGACGGTAACCACTCGTCATCACGTGAGCTGTATGCTCGTCTGCCTACAAGTGCAATAAAACAAAAAAAGTGTCTCGCCGGATCTTCTCAGTGGGTCGCGTTTCTAATCCAGTGTAGATTCTGCGAAGCACTGCTCTTGCTAAGACTAGTGTTAGCAATATCTGAGACCGAGTCTCCTGAGATTAGAAATGCAACATCGCTACGTTTTTCCAGATGTAGCCACTTTAATGATAAAAAAAATAAAAAATGATCAGAATACATTTATTAGAAAGTAATCAAATGGCATATTTTACATCCTGCCTATAAATATAGCTACAAAATGATTTTTTTTTTGCTATTCAGTGTTTCTAATCATTTTCTTGTCCAAAACATCCAATTTCAATTTTAAATCGAGACAAATAAAACTTTTCGTGGATGACACATAAAACACAAAATGAAAAACTAAACTATTAAAATTTAAACAAACAAAAATCCTCGTCTTGAGAACAAAAAAAAAAAACAAAAAGACAGTTCCTTATTCTATAAATGCTTGCAAAATTAAATAATATGCTAAATGTTTTTTTTTTGTTTAATTAAACTTAAACTAATTTCACAATCACAGACTCTGCCCTAAAATGAAGGACCCAATAAAGTCCTCGTATTTAGAATAATTACTGGAAAGTAGTAAAATGTTTTACTCTCTATTTTATATAAATAATATCACTTAATTATAACAGTTCTCTGCTCTAATACTATGAAAAAGTCCTTTGGCAGTTGATTGTCAACAAAATGGCCTCTCAATTTCGAATGTCCTTGAGGACGACCTTAGGGTCGACTTTTATGATTTCTCTGAGCTTTTTAACGGTAAACGGCATGAGGCTGTTGCAGAACGACATCATGGTGGTCACGTTGGCGTACTGGTCCGCGGGGGGAGGCTTCGAGCCATAGAACGAGTACTGCTGGTCTCCGACTCCGGGCGGTTTGGTTGTCGATTTCCTAGCGACAGCGTTGACTCTGGGTAGTTTGGTCGTAGATTTCCTGGCGACGCGCTTCGGTGGCGGCTGGGCAGACTCTTCGCTGGTTTTGCGTTTGAGCGTCTCGACCTCCTCGTTAGGCGGGAGGGAGGAGGTCGTCGTGTATTTTAACTTGAGGGTGCTGTGCACGGCGCTGTGGTGCGACCTCAGATCCATCAGGAACCGGAAGCGTTTGTTGCAGTAGTCGCAGTGATGAGTGTCCCTAGAATCGCATTGCAGCTTAAAGTAGGCATAGTTGATAATAGTGGCTCCAGCGTGGGCTGCGGAGTAGTGCTCCTGTAGCGAACCCACGTCCTTACGCAGGGCCAGACAGATGCCACACTTTACGACCACATCTCCCTTCTTGGCGAACTGCCCCTCCGCATTATCATGCAAATGCGTCTCCGAGTCCTTTTCCAGGACAGTCTTCTCGCAAATCAGACAAATCAATTTGTTGGCTTCGTCGGCAATCGTCTTCTTACCGTATACCTTCAAGTTCAAATTGAGGGGCGGTCGATCTGGTACCTGTATGGAGCTAATGCTGTGCTTTTGTCCCGGGTGCGCCTGGTCCAGGTGAGCGAGGAGGGCGGGGCGGTGTCCCGTGTAGTCGCAGTACCCGCACGAGTAGGGCTTCAGCCCGTAGTGACGTAGCGTGTGCTCCCGCAACGCCTTCGAGTATTTAGTGGAGTAGCTGCAGTGCTTACAGGATTTCGGTTTGTTTTTATTCGGCATTTTAGGCTCGTCTATGATGAGCTTCTCTTCGTCGCTGTCCTGGGGCGCGGGCGGGGTCTGCTCGGGCGTCGGCACGCGTTCCTCGTACCTCACCACCAGCAGCGAGTTCTCGTCCGGCTCCATTAGTTGCAGGGCGGTTTTCGTTTCGTCGCTAGGGCCGGGAGCGGGGGTGCTTTGGTGCAGGAAGACCTTCTGAGTGGCGATGACGTGCGCGACCCACTCCCTGCGCATGGCGGGGTCCCTGGCCGCCTCCACGGGCCGCGCGGCCTGACCCGCGTGACTCTTGCAGTGGAACTGAGCCTCGTGGTAGGTCTGGAAGTGCGACGCGCAGTGACTGCAACACCATCTGTAAACACATCCAATAGGCTCTATAGTTTTAAAAGGCTAAGCTTTTGTTTATCGGCAAGTAGCATCAAAATACCGTTCAGCGATTTTGCGTATACAAAAGCATATATTCGATGCGCAAAAAATATATATTTCTAGGTCTATTAAAATCATTTCAATCCTACAGCTAGATTCATTAAAATTATTATTTTTTCAAGTTAAATTAGTCTACTGTAAAGTTCACCCATTTTCGCTTAGTCACGTTTGCCTTTCAAGCGTCGATGTGTCTTTTTAAGGGATTTTATGACCTGCTAATTAAGACCTTTAAGTTATGTCTTATTTTAATTTATATTCTTATTTTTATGAAGATGATTAATTTGAGACATTAATCAACTGGAATGAAGTTAAATGAAATGAGATGAGATGATATGGAATGAAATATAATCTCAGTAAAATGGTGGTCATTTACTGAGATTTTTTCAGTGGACTTTTTGAAGGATCCCGAGAAGTTACGTCCACCGGCCTTGTTTTATTTTTTCACATTTGTGCACTTTCACAGATATTAAACAGTTAATAAACCACCGTTATTAAACATTTAAACTTGAAGAAACACTAAATAGACAAAATAAAACAAATCACACAACTTGACTCCTCGCGTTCCCGCCAAAAAGTCTACAAAAGCATTTACATAAGAAATTAAGCAATGCCCGTGCGCCACTTACCGTATCTTGGACAGTTCGCCCTCCAGATGCTCCCGCATGGTGGCTTCCTCCCTCACCGTGTAGTTGCACTTCGGACATCGGTACTGCATCTCAGACGGAGTACAAAAGCTACCAAACGTTTTCTCTAGATCTTCAACGGTGTATTTCTTTACAGAGTCCTCGGTCTCCAAGGCTTTCTCAGCAGCATCCGCGGGCGGCGCGGCCAGAGGTCTCGGCTCGGCCCTCGGTACCAGTACCTTCTGCTGTTTCAAATTCTCTTTGTTGCGCTCGATGAGGTCCGTTTGGTATTCCAAGTGACCTTGGACCCAGTTCTCGATATTGGCGTTCTTCGGTAGTTGTATTGGTTCCTGATAGTGGCTCCTGTGTTCGGAGGTCATGTGGTCGTTCAGACCAAGCTTGTGGAACGCCTTGTAAGAGCACAATCCGCATCCCCATCTAAAAAATGATTTAACCAATTATAGCATATATCATTTTAGTTTTTTTATACAATGTAAATGCTGCCAATCGCCATGAGATATGAGACCAAAGTCACAGTAGTATATGACTGTCCTTACAAACGCACGAATGCGTGGCAGAAATAGGTAGGGGTCACCACCGTCAGATTAGAGGAAAACTTGGGGACGAGAAGTGTGGGAGGGGTAAGGTAATTATTGTGAAGGACATTGCTACGACTAATGAGTTCCATGTATGTGGTGATAGGACCTCTTGTGAGTCCGCACGAGTAGGTACCACCGCCCTGCCTATTTCTGTCGTGAAGCAGTAATGCGTTTCGGTTTGAAGGGTGGGACAGCCGTTGTAACTGTACTGAGACCTTAGAACTTATATCTCGAGGTGGGTGGCGCATTTACGTTGTAGATGTCTATGGGCTCCAGTAACCACTTCACACCAGGTGGGCTGTGAGCTCGTCCACCCATGTAAGAAAAAGAAAAAAAAAATGTGGTAGTTGCAACCGCGAGTTCAGTAATACTATGTCACTTACTTTCTATACTTCAACTCTTCGAATAAATGCGACTGCATTGCTTCTCTGGTATCTTCAAAGACAACTCGGCACAGAGAGCACTTGTATTTGATGCCATTCGGCTCACTGAACTGGCCGTACATCTTGCACAGTTGGTCCATAGATTCGATCTCGTCATTTGAGTCTTCGGTTATTTCTTGTTTGACAATGTTCAGGTCTACGGCTGGTCGCGGCGGCTCTAGTCCTGTCGGCGGCGGAGTTGACGTCACACCAACCTCACTTTTTATTTCGGGTTCGCACACGCCCATTCTCTCTTGCTGCTTCCTCCACCTGGGAGTGCCGTCGGCGTCATCCGGCAACGAGCCCTCCCTATAAAAGTAATAGAACACGTCCGTTTCCTTGGTAGGGTGCGCGTTGCTCTGATGTTTTACGATATTTTCGACGTCTGACGTCCGGAAAGGGCAGTAGCAGCACTTGAACTGCATCTTGGACTGGTGCAGCTTCGAGCAGTGCTCCACGATTTCTGGTCGCAGCATACATTTGAACTGGCAGAGGCCGCACTGCCAGGCCTTGAGGTCCATAGTAGGTGCCACGGCTGGGGGCATTATCGCACCGGACGTTACTGACGACTCCTCTCTGACAGTTATAATATGCGCGTTTTTGTGACTGTCCAAATGTTTCTCGAGCACCTGCCGCTTGAAGTGATAGTAGGAGCAGGAGGAGCACGCGTACAGCGTCGCTTCGTGCATCTTCAAGTGGCCGATGACACGCGCCGACGTCAGCGGCTTGGTCGTGTCCAAGTACTGGAACGGGGGGCAGTGGGCGCAGAGGTAGTCCGTGCACTCCGGATGCAGCGCCTCCCAATGGCGCCTCAGCATGTCCTCGTCCAGCGATATGTACGTGCAGTCCTTAGCGCCGCACACGTAGCGCTGTCGCTCCGGGACGTACTTGGGGTAGCGGGTCGCCGCTTCGACCGGTATAGTGACGCTGACCGAGTCCTGCCGATTCACTTTGTCGGGGGTGCGGTTGAGCGTGGAGCTGGACGCGAGGTTCACCATCCTGTCGAAGTGCTTCTCGTTGGTCTCCAAGTGCGGCACCGGGTTGACGGGCTGAGTCTCCGGCACGCACTGCCGCTCGGCGTGCAGCTGCAAGTGCCGCACCATATTCAGGCGCACCTTGGTGCTGAACTCGCACAGCGAACAGAACACGAAGCTGTCGAGTATGGGGTTTATTGGCAATCGACCCACGTCCTGAGGGCCGAAACGTTTTGTTTTATTCGCGTCGACCGAGAGCTTCCTCTTCGAGGGTACTCTGTCCGCCGCCACCGTAGCCCCGTGCGGCCGGACCGTGTAAACCTGAACGAGCCCTTGTCTGATAACCTCGACCACGTATTTTTCAGTGTTGTGGTGTAATCTCACGTGCTTCTTTGTAGTGACCATGGTCAGGAATCTCTGATTACATATCCCACACATGTAAGTTTTCGAAGAACCCATAGCGTGTAGTCTGTGATGTATGTCGTAGTGGGAGATAATGTCCTGAACACTAGAGAGCACTTTTGTGCATCTCTTGTGTGGACACGGAACATCCTTGAGTTTGGCGTTCGTTCCGCACGCTATAGCGTGACTCCTGAACCCGGCCATAGTCCGAAACAGGGATTTGCAGTACGGACACCGACATAGTTCTGCTTTTGGGACCTTCACGTAGTCTTCCTCGGCACTAGAGTCGGCGTTGGAGGCCGTCGATAGCGAGCGACTCCTGATGCTTTCGATCGACGACCGTCGGGGCGACGTCTCAGCGGCGGTGTGCGAAGTGTCCTCCTCCTCGTCACTGTCCAAGCAGTAGATGACTTCAGCGTCCTTGGAGGACGTCGGGGACGGTTCATCCTGAGGTTCCGTTTTGAGTGTAGGTGGAACGACTGGTGGTGCTGGTGATGCTGGTCCAGCAATAGGCGGCTCGAGTGAACCATCAGCATTTTCACTGAGTGAACACGATACTGGACCGGCGACTTGAGCTTGTTCATACTGTTCCGAATTTGTGTCGGTGAGATTATCTGTCTCATCGTTCCTAACATCTTCTATTGAAGGTTGCGACTGTGTAACGGAATCAATGTGCGTGATGAGTTTCTCCAAGTCCAAAGATCTCTCTGCTTCTCTGACGGGATCCTCTGGGGGACCTGGGGTGACAGTCTCTGTGGGTATCTTGAATTTACCTTGGCTCATATTTGCTAACGGAAGAACCCTGTATCCATTCGAGCCATCCTGAAATATCAACAAAGATCGTTTTTAATGAGTTTCCGCCCTTACCGAAGTAACAATATTTAGTTAGTTAATATTTATATATAAATAAGACATACGTATTTGTACATTGAATATATTTATAAGAATAGATTATAATAATACATTATTGTTTGTGTACCCACATTATCGATTTTACGAGTCACACATACATATTTACTGGTGGTAGGACCTCTTGAGAGCCCGCGCGAGTAGGTACCACCGCCCTGACTATTTCTGCCGTGAAGCAGTAATGCGTTTCGGTTTGAAGGGTGGGGCAGCCGCTGTAAGTTGATTTATGTTAAAGCATGTCTAATTACAATCATTTGTTTAATTAAGTCACTAGTGATTTACAAATTAACGTCTAAGCTATACAAATGGGGACGTACTTTATTAGTGATCACTCGTAGGTAAGCTTGCGGTTGCTTGAAGGGATGTTTTCCCGACGAGTGCGACATAATGTCCGTTTCCGAGTCGGCTCCGTAGACGCACCACGCGCACTGATACATTCCCATATTGTGAACTTTCATGTGCTGCACCAATTGAGCCACCGTTGTGACCAGATCACCGCAAATCTGGGTGAAAAAAAGTACACATATATACAACAGTTTTGTCGTTGTCTTCGAGGTAATGAAAAATCTCGAAATGTAAATATTTCGCTTACGATATTAAAATTAAAAAATTCAAGCATACAATATCTGTTTTTTTTTTTTTGGATAATGTTACCTTATATAATATTTTTTTAAATTTTTTATTTATTATACTTATGTAATTATACTATATGTACATACTAGTTTTATTATTTCCAAATAAATATTAACTCAGGTGAAACAGAGAAGCAGATCAAGTACTACTTACATTTATTTGGTAATACAAATATTTTATATCGTTATAAATTCAAAATTCAATCACAGTAGAAGGAATAAAGATTTTAACATTTTTTATATTTAGATTTTTACTTTTACAATTTTCCACAAAACTGTATTTTATCTCTATTTTAGTAATTTGACATATGAGAGATATTTTTAATTGTCTTGTAGGCAGGGAAGCATACCACCACCTGCTTGATGGTGAGTGGTTACCATCGCTCATGGACGTCAGCAATGCCAGAGGTGGTACAGCCACATCACTGCATTTTTTTATTGCTTAGATGGGTGGACGAGCTCACAGTCCACCTGGTGTTAAGTGGTTACTGGAGCCCATAGACATCTACAACGTAAATGCGTCACCCACCTTGAGATATAAGTTCTAGGGTCTCAGTATAGTTACCACGGCTGCCCCGCCCTTCAAACCGAAACGCATTGCCACTTCACGGCAGAAATAAGCAGGGTGGTGGTACCTACCCGCGAGGACTCACAAGAGGTCCTACCGCTGATTATCCTCTAGAAACCTCGTTTCGAGAATATTCAAGACAGTTCGATTAGCAAACAGTTCCTTAATGGAATAACAATTATTTACAATATATTAGTGGTATTAGCTTAGTTGCTAAAAATAATGTGATAATTTAAAAATAATCATAATCTTTTATGGGAATAAAATACGCACCCCACACGAGTAAGGAGCCGTGTGCTGTTCATATAAGTGGTCACAAAACTTTGCCGCAGTATACGTTCGGAAGCTGCACGTAGTCTTAACGTCACCTGAAATGAACGAATACCCAATTTTCATTTCCCACTTCTTCTTTTTTTAAGGGATTTTATGATCTGGTAACTAAAACCTTTAGGTCATGTCTTATTTTAATTTATAATCTTATTTTTATGAGAAATGATAATATGGAGGGAAATGAAATGAAGATGATTAATTTGAGACATTAATCAACTGGGATGAAATTAAATGAAATGATATGGGAAATATAATCTTAATAAAATGGTGGTCATTTACTGAGATTTTTTCAGTGGACTTTTTGGAGGATCCCGAGAAGTTACGTCTAGCGGCTTTGTTTCATTTTCCCACATTTGAGCACTTTCACAGCTATTAAACAGTTAATAAACCACCGTTATTACACATTTAAATTTGAAGAAACACTAAATAGACAAAATAAAACAAATCACACAACTTCACTCCTCGCGTTCCCGCCAAAAAGTAATTTCCCACTTCATTAGCATTACGTAACGTAATTAGTACAACGATTTACTAACCTATCGTCTGGGAATGGCCACATAAATAGAAGGCAACGGCTTCTTCGCGTGACAGCAGATTGGACGAGTCTTCGGCAATCGGCGAGACGTTTGCAGAGTGTAGGATGTTCCCATTCTTTGTTGCATCTTTGTGGGCTTTCGCAATGTGCGCGGCCACGGATTGACTAGCCGCCGCCCTGTAGAAGCACAACGCGCAACAGTACTGACAGGCGCCGTGCGACTTGAACACGTGCATCACTAAATCGATCCCGTTCTTCGAAGTGTTGAAATCGCAGTACGAGCAACACAACGCGTTCTCGCCACCCATCCGCTGGTGGGTAGACGCGTGCATCAACGCCTCCTCAACGTTATCCGAGGCGAACGAACAAAAACGACCAGCGCATTTGTATATTTTAATCAGCTTGCCCCTATCCATCATCGCTTCCAACACGACACGGTGCTTTTTCGTCATAATCTCCGCCTGCCATTCTTCGTAGTCCACGACTGGCGTTTTCGGAATATCCTTAATATTTTTTATCGGATAATTAGGACTGAAATGAGGTAACGGAACACTTTTATCGCCCAAACTCATAACATTCTCAATTACGGGCAGCGGTGATTTGCATTGCGTATCCTCGATCGGACCCGACATCAGCTGCGCTAGAGGTCGCACGTTTATGTAAGGTTTAGAAACGGCAGAAATAGTTTCCGTTTGTGTTAGAAGACTATCCGATGATTCAGATTGAGTAGATTTATCAGGAGCTTCTTCGCATACAGGAAAATCATCTGCATGTTTATCTAAGAAATGTTGTAGACAATCCTTGAATTGGTGCACACCTTGAGACATAACGATTACTTTGCACATGAAACAATAACCATCCCATGGTTCTTTATGTTTCAACTGAACGTGCTTTTTCAATGAGATTAAAAGGGGTATTTTGTAATGATTGTTTCCGTTAATGCAACAAACGTATTCTTTAGCTCCGGATTCTTTGTAGCTAATCTTGAAATGGGGAGTGACGACTATATCCGCAGAAGGCATGTCGAGCTGTGAATCCGTAACAACAGGCGAAGAGCTCGGAACACCATCCACCGCAGGCGTTGCCGAAATTTCATCATCAACGTTGTCTTTTTCTTTTTTTATTTTGATATTCTCCAAAGACTCAACAGCATCCTCGCTCTCAAATCTTATTTTTGACTGGATACCACCGGACATTTTTGTTTTTTGCTTACGCGCAGATTGAACGGTATCTAAAGATGGGGATGGTATCGCGCTGTCCTCAATGGTAACGTTGCTGTTCTCGTCGTCATTGCCTCTATCTTCCTTCCTTGAGACCTCAAAACTTTGATTCGAACGAGTGCTTCTTAAAACACGATTCGGTTGACCGTTTTGATTTGCTCCGCTTTCGATCGTCGTCAATTGTTTCAAGAGTTCAGAAAACGCCTTATTGGAGAGTAATGCGAGATTCACAGTGAAGACTTCAGTGTGCTCATCATTGTGACGTAGGACTACATGAATCTTCAAATTCTCTATAGATATTTGTGTAAAATTGCATTTACTACAAACGTATCCAATAAGCTGGCCTTTGTTCTCTGTGGGCGGTGGCGGAATATCCAATTGGAATGAACAAGGCTTATCGACACATTCAGAACATGGTAACTTATATTCTCCGGTGTGCATACTAACAATGTGCCAGAAAAACGCTTCTAAATTACCCTTCGACTTAGCGAACTCCCTGGAACAAAATCTGCATACATACTTACTAGTTTCGATTTGTTTAATTATTTGGAAATTAATTCGAGCACACTGTTCTATTGCCTTCTTTGTAGTCAATGGATCCATTCTGGACAAGGGGATTTCAGTATGCGGATGCTGTTTTTTATAATGGCACACGATATCATCACCGGAATACTCGCACAAACGGCAAGAATAAATAGTCAACTTGCTCTGAAAACAGTATGATGTATCGGTAAAGCACTCTTTGTCCATTACATTAGTAGCTTTTCGAGTTACAGCAGTTTCATTATGAAGTGTTTTATCTGTTTGTTTTTCATCCAACTTTGGTTTCTTATTTTTTTTCTTTTGGAGACTCGATGCTGAAACATTACGCCGTTTACGTATGATTTTCTTTTTAATCTCACCAAGGGCCTCAGTGCTGCCAAAACTTTGAGATGAGCTATCGGAGCTAGGATCGCTTCCAGAGTCTTCATCATCACTGCCCTTAAAGGTACTTGATTCTAAGGAATCTGATTCAAATGCATATGGATCTAAATTTTCCCGTTTCTGAACAAATTTTGTCTTGGACTTGGGTCCAAATGTCTTGATTTTTCTTGATTTAGTTTCGTCTTCGTTTATTTTTGGTTTTGGCTTTGGTCCTGGTTTTTTTCTCGTCGGTTTTTCAACGGGTTGTTCTTCATCTTTCGTTTCTTTAAGCTTTCGTGGCACTAATGATTTCGAAGCTTGCAGATCATCGTTAGAGTTGGTTTGTTTTTCGTCAACTAATTTTGCTAGACGACACATTCTGAGGCCGGTTGCATTCAGAACATCGTCGCTAGTAAACATCTCTTTTATGTCTTCACGCAGTTTTAACAGTTCTCGTGAAGGCTTCTTTAATTTAGACTTTGTTACTTCAGTTTTTACTGGGATCGATTTAGTCACTCGTTTTTTCCATTTCCATTTCCTACTTAGTTTTCTCTTGCCTTTCTTTCCTGCGATTTTTTTCTTAACAGAGACATTTTCTGTCGTTTCAATACTTTCTTTTTTCGTAAGAGCTTCAGATTCATTTTCTTTATCTTTCTCGCTTAATATTTCTGTACATTGTGCAGTGGGGGTTTCATTTATTTTTGGCACATTTACAATCTCATCATTTTTTATTTCAGCACTATGTTCTGTCACAGATGTTGCATCAAGGACATTTTTTTCTTTGTTCAAGTCTCGACCCACTTCAACAGCGTCCTCTGATTCTTTTTTCACTGTGTTTTTGTTGGGCTCATCCTCTTTCGTGTCTTCATCGGATACTATTTGGCTTATTTTTTCAAGTTTCTTTTTTATCTTTTCGTTTTCAGCTGAATCATCGTCTAACATAGTCAACAATTCCTTTATCTTGGATTTATCTTGTAAAAGGGTCAGAATACTACCAAGAGAGTCAATGGGCGGTACAGTGTCTTTTAGTTTTTGATTAGACTCTACAGAGCTTTTGGAATTGATTTCAATATGTGACGACGATACGTCTGAATTGTCATCGACGTGGACTTCATTAGTGCTATCAGGTAGGCTTTGTTCTTTAGAAGTGTGCAAATTTTCAGTATTTGGATTATCAGACGTAGAACAAACATTGCTTATGTCACTTTCATCTGGTTGACCATTTGTGTTTCGTGGTGCCATTTTAGAAATATTTTCTTCAACTTCTGTAGTGGAAACGATTGCATCTCTGCTAGCATTATCGTCCTCTTTTAAAGTGACATTTAGTTCATTTTTTTCTACTACTACTGTACTCTGGTTTTTTGGGGATAACAGAAAACTATTAGTTTCTTTATTTATTATACTACATTCATTTTTACTTGAAATCATGGAAGACTGTTCATATTCATCAGGTTTTTGTATTGAATCAAGATCTTCGGCATTTTCACTATCTTTGTTTGAAGTGCTCAATTCATTTTCATTTTCACATACTGAAGTTTTCTTCAAATCTCTTCGTATTACCTCGTCAATGTCCTCAAATGATCGATCTACAATTTGATTAGAGTCAGTAATATTATCTAGCATATTCTCGAAAATAATGTCTTCAGTGAAATCAACAGTATCTTCATTTTTAGGAGTATAAATTTCATTACAGGAATTAGCTATTAAAACATTAATACTATCAATAACAAAATCTGACGTAATGTTTTCTGTATTGAGATCCAAGATTTCTGAACCAAATCCAGTGCTAGAATTATCTGTAACGTTATTGGGTTCTTTGATATGTTTAAAATTTTCATCGCGATTTTTGGACTGAATGCATTCATTATCTTGTTTTTCTGATATAGTTGTTTCCGATTCAGGAGCAGAATTATCAACAAGGGCCTGCTTTAAATCTTTTGACTGGACTTCTTCTTTAAGATCACTTTCATCTTTAAGATCTTCTTTTTTAATATTTTTCTTTCGAGACCTCGTTATTATCATGTCAGTCATCTGAGTATCTTTGCTTGATGTACTATCCTCAGAATCACTAACTTTTAGATCTTTAGAAAAAGATGAGTCTTTAACCTTTTGTTTCAGAGTAACTTCCTCTTTTTTAGACGTTTCAGTGTCTTTTTTGGCAATATCGCTTTTATTTCCTTTGTTTTCATTACTTAACGTCTCGTTTTCCTCTGGAACTCTTTTAATTTTGGGAATCTTATAATTTTTTACACCATATCCAGAACCCAAGACTGCACCCTTCGCAATATTATCGCTAGAATACACAATTCCATAGGTATTTTTGTATCGGTTCTCATTCCGTAATTTATTTTTGTAGTCTTTATCATCACGACGCATTCTTGGGTCCCTACGATTTTTTGTAGGAGAGTAAGGCAGGCTGCCACTTTTTGACTTTTCTCGACGATCTTCGTAAGAATCTTTTTTACTACGTAACACTCTTTCTGGTGTAGTCTTGGGAGAAACTTCTTTTTCACTTTTTCGAGCCTCAATTATTTCTGTTTTTTGGCATTGTTTTAATTCAATCTTCTTTTTAAATTGTTCGAAATGATCTTTCATTTCTTGGAAAGTTTTACTAGGACCGTCGCGTCCTGCTGTGTCGCGACCGACACTGGAAGCTCTTCTAAATCGGTCTTTTTTCGTATCAATAGACTGAGTTGAAAACAAATTTTTAGTAACATTGTGGGATTTAACAGAACGAATTAATGATTTATCACCACGCAAGTCGCGTCCCGACGTCGTTGAATACGCTCCTAAATCTCGACCAACACTTGCCGCACGTTTTCTACGTGAATCAAAAGACGACTCGTTAATTTGTAATCCTTTTTTCGACATAAATTCTTGGAAAGATGCATTCACACTTGTATCAATAGTAAACGATCGCCCTGAATAAGACTTTATAGCCATTACATTATCAGAAGAATTAAAATCGATATTTCTTTGATTATCTTTCATGTGATGCCTTCCAGTCTTTTGTTCGCTGTTAAAATCAGTTCTAGATTCTCTTTCGGTAGATTTTGCTCGACTATTAGATGCATATAAATTGCCATTGCGATTTTTAGAATAAAAGCCATCATGATCTCTTGAAAATTCAACACTTTCTCGCCGTGAGTAGGACGAACGATACGGTTGATCATAAATTAAATTTGAATATCTGTTTCGGTCATTTCTTAACGAATTCTGATCTCTATCATGTCTGTAAGATTCTGCCCCATCGTAATGTCTGTAAGATTCTGCCCCATCGTATGACATTTTGTATGAATTATAAGATCTTTCATGATAAAATCCTCTATCCTTATACCCTCGTTCCCTGTCATTATATTTAGAATTTGTATCTTGCATCCATTGTTTTCTATTTAGTCTGGGGTCTTTAGAAAATGTTTTATTGAAGTCACTTTGAACATATTCAGATCTACCGAATAAATTACTATGTGACGCATCAGAGCGATTAAAAGGGTAGCTTTTATTCGGAGGACAATCAGTCCTACCAAACGAGTGAGTTGGCGTCATTGGGCAATCAACCCTACCAAATGTAGTATTAGGCGTAGAAGGGCACTCTAATCGAACAAACGGATGCCCTGGCTTTATGAGAGGCTCAGGCCTGCCAAATGAATGAATTGGAGTTTGAGGACATTCGTTATTACCGAAATAGTGAGCGGGAGTCCCTGGACATTCAAGTCGGCCAAACGGATGACTTGGGGTCGAAGGGCATTCCAATCTATTAAGGTCAGAACCTAATGGATTGATCGGGTCTAACTTCCTAAAATTATTGACATTAGGACCATCATGTCGTCCGAATAAAGATAATAATGGTCGAGGGCTTTCCATTCTATTTTCTGGATTATATTTTGGATTTCCGCTTTTCTTGTACTTATCATGGTTATAAGAAATACTGTAACTAGAATCCTTTTGTGAATTGCTCCCTCTGGAATCCTCATCCCGTTTACTGAACACTTCATCGTTCTCGGCCCAGCGAGATTTACGTCTATTTGTACCGTTGCCCCAAAGGTTATGTGTACTATTGGATTGTCCTCTTGAGTCATTGCCTTCGTAGAATCCAAATGAAGAGGCGTATACGTGTTTACGACTAGAATCACTATCTCCAGATTCAAATGGCTGGTAATTAGGAGTCATTTCATAAGTTCTAGAATTTGGAGTCATACTGGGGTTTCTACTTGGTGTACTTGGAAGTAAATTGTGTACGACGTTTGGATATGGTCCTTGTTGTTTGTCGGAATTTACAGAATTAGGACTATCTTTTATTGTTTGGTTAATTTCATCCCAAGTTCTAGAATCGGTGGATGTCTTCTCATTACTGGTTAGTTTTATATCACTGTGTTGAGAAGTAGCTAGCTTGCAATTGATATTTGATGTATTTGGACTTATCAAAGGAAGTTCTCGCATATCAATGTCCCATTGAGTACTTTCATGATTTACTACCTTCACGGGATCACTGGGTATTATTATAGGCTGGGTTTGGTCCAAATTTAAGTCGATTTCGTTATCTGGAGATTTTGGTGCGAGATCACTGTAAATTTCATCAGTTGTTATTTCACTAGGTTCTTCCTCTTCTTCGGAACTTATATTATCAACCAATGATTTCACTGGTAGTTGGAATCTTTCGCATTCTTTATCAGTCAATTTAAGGCTTTGTTTTCTATTACTTTCCTCTTTCGACATGAACAGTCGACTATCTTGCAAAGAAACGAATGGTGATGGAATCGACTTTTCTTTGTACTTCTCAATCGATATGCGTTTTCTAGGCATTAAGTCTCCGTTTTTTGAAACTTTTATGAGTTTCGGTTGATGTAAGGACGGGGTTTCAATTTCAGGACTTTGTATATTCATACTTTCACTTAATATCTCATTTTTCAGCGCTTGAAGAATGTCTATTTGAGACACGACATCTTTGTCAGCAATAGCTTCTTCTACACTTGGTTCATTTAATAGAGGTATTTGCACTGCATCATCTTGTCGATCAAGAGTCGCTGATACTATTGCTGATGAATTGTTTTCAGTGTTTGCAATGTTCACACAGTCCTTGTTCGAAATATATTCGGTTTCGCCTCTGGAACTGCTCTTAATTTCTTCAGTTTCTTCATCATTCAAAGGTTTGTAGAAATTAGCTCTAAATGATTTTGTAGATTCTAAAATTGTATTGGTAAGATTATCTGATTTTTTACATAATTCATCTTTTAAATGAATTATTTCAATGTCCTTTTGATCTGAATCATTATTTCGTGAATCAACAATTGTAGAGCGTTTAGAACTATCGCTTATAGAAACGTCTTTGAGATTGGCAATATTTTGAAAAGTTTCATCTTTGTTATCCCTTTTATGGTTATTTTTAACAGTCTCTTGTATAGTATTAAAATCGTCTCCATCGTCAGCAGTTATAATCTGACTAACAGGTTTGTTTAGAGAACTAGATTCTTCTTTTAGAAGTTCTTTTACGTATTCACTTTCTTTTAAAAGTTTTTGGGAAATTTCGTTTTTACGTTCTTCAAGCAATTGTTTTTCGGTTTCATTCGCGCTGTATATTTGAAAATCGGAAGAGTCTACTGCTTTTTCAGCCTCTTCATTTTGTTTTGATTTTTCATCTAAAGCAGAATTAAAAACCAAACAAATTTGAATTTTTCGGGGTTCTTCTTTTGAAGTAGCTGTATGACTGTCAGTCTTTTTATTTTCATCAACAATAACCACGCTACCATATATGTTTTCTATAGCTTCGCTCTCACTATCGGATAGCTCACCCTCTTCTATTTCTTCTTGTCGTTTCTCTTTTATTTTTTTATTTTTATATGACTTTAATATTAAGTCTGATATGTCATCATTCCCACCGGTTTGCTTTAACTCACCTAGGATTTGAGTCCTAAGTTCTCTCAACGTTTTAATATCAACATCTCCGTCACTGCAATTAATAATCCTTGATAAAATATCTTTGGTATTTAAAGAATTGAGACTTTCTTGAGGAACTTTCAAAGTTATGTTGAAATCTTTCAAATTTTTATTTCTGATACTTCCTTTAGGCGACTTACTCCGGTCACTCTTTTTATTGACTGGTGAATGTGGTCTCTTCGGCGATCTGCGTGGAGACCTTCGTGTGTACATCGCGTTTTCTTTATTTAGAGATTTATCATTTCTTCTCCGTGGACTAGAATCAGGTGATACCAATATTCGAGTATATTTTTTTTTGCTTTTTGACATATGTGGTGACATAGACATGTTTTCTTGAGAAGTAGTAGGAGATGGAGAATGTTTATTTGGTCGTCTTTGGAAAAGAGCTGGTTCTTTACTTCCTGGTGTACAGACTTCTTCAATTTCACTAGCTCTTGCTATTTCCGGTAGGGTGTCAGTATCCTTTAAAAGTTTACTCGATAGTGTTTTGAGTTTAGATCTTGCGGAATCAAAATTCTCTTTAGACGAATTAGGAGACTGTGATTCTGGAAGCTTTTCCTTTGGCACGGAAGCTTTCTAAAATTATAATTTCGTTTTAGGAAAACATTCAACAAATCTTTATCTAGATAAAAAAAAACTTACAAAACAACTCACCTGTTCCACTTTTGAGTACAGATTAATCAAAACCTGTTCACATTTTAACAAGTTTTCCATCTTCATCCTGCAAAGATTGTGGGATTAATTAACTATATACAATAAATTTTATAAAATTGGTGCTTTTATAAACGGAATTACCGTAAGTAAATGATAATATAATTTTGAACTTTTTTTTTGTTTAAAATGAAGCAATAACCGCATGACAATTGAAGCCTAATTATAAACTACACCAAACCTTTTGTTTTTATCCATCAAAAGGTCCCTCAGCGACCTTATTTTGTCCAACTGAGCTTGTCTAGGATTCGCGGACAGGGCATTCGTACTTTCGAGCCTTTTAATCATGCTCTCCAGAAACGGAATGTACTTCTTCATCTCCGCGAATTTCTTCTCGTAAGCCGAAGCCATTTCGCCGACTGCAACAACAATACCTTTTAGGATATTCTAACGGTGCCTGTAACATATCAGTCTGGTTTGATTCAAAGAACTCAACAATGTTTCAAATTTTACAATGTTACAGTACCGCCAATTTCAATAACAAAAGGTATAGAGACAATAAAACAACACTCGATAATAGCATTGATGTATTGGTCATTATTAATATCTAATGTAATCAAAGAAAACTCTTCAAATTAATTATGGTCATGCAAAGCAATATGCTTATTTATGGTAATGCTTTCTTATGAGTAATGTGGTTTTTCTTAATTGACTACCTTGTAAGCAATTACGTTATTCAATACATTTCACCGATTTATTTGTCGTATCAACGTTGAGGATCCTGAATTTGTGCTAGGATTATTTTTGAAATGTCTCTATGAGAATAATAAAGTTCTTAAAACGAGGAGAATTTTAAAACGTATAACTCGCGTTCAAACCATGTTTTCGAATTTGTGCGTCATTCACATCACATTCATTTATAGGATTATCAATTTTTTTGTGTGACAAAGAAAGTCGGTAACTCTATTCCAGTTAATATTGTCCGCACCATTCGTTTGATGCCCATATCAAACCCTACTGTTTTTTTTAAAATTGTAAACACAACAAACATATCTCTATAATAAATACGGATAATTATATAGCTTAATAATAGTTTAATAAAAACAAATTTCTTTGGTTTTCGCGGGTTATAAACATAATTAAAAAGACTTATACGAAATTTAATACTGTGTTTTTGTTTTCAATTTACTTTTGCCTATTTTCGAATGCTTTAATTTTCGCGACCAATTTACCGCGGTTTATACATGTTAGCCTTATATAATTATATTTATAAATATCAAGCATAATCGAGGGGTGAAAGGATAATTGGTTCAAGCGACATTTTTCTTAATACCCCATCGAGATCCCTTTTATTTAATAATAATTATAAAAAAATTGATGTCTTTAATTGAACTTCAATTATGTTTATTCCATTCAAATAGCTGAAGTTTCTTTTGTCATATTCTTTCAAATTTAAAATTTTAAATACTTATCCTGTAAAGTTGCAAAAATGTCGCTTAAACCAAATAGCCTTTTACTCCTCGATACGCTTACAAACCTGCGTCTGTCAAGTGAATGAACAGTATTATCAATGTTGTAAAACAAAGCACTCTTTTTATGTTCAGAGTTCGTCGTACTAATGACGGATGTGTATGAGCAAATGTTTATTACGCTTTAAAAATTATAATACATAATACATTGGTTTTAGCTTTCGTTATCCATTTTGATGTCGCGTTCCTGAGTCTGTCGATACTAAGACAAATTCTTTAGACGAGCTTTCAAACCAATATGAAAGTTTTGAAAATACTCGAAAACGATTTTAATCATAGGTTTAAACAGTGACAGCGGTATTTTAGAGAGCTTCACGGGCAACTTTAATAAGTTACTCAAGGTTTTTTCCTTGTGAATGTTCCACTTTTTTTTTATTGCTAAATCGGTGGACGAGCTCACAGCCCACCTGATGTTAAGTGGTTACTGGAGCCCACAGACATTTACAACGTAAATGCGCCACCCATCTTGAAATATAAGTTGTAAGGTCTCAGTATAGTTACAACGGCTGCTCCACCCTTCACGCCGAAACGCTTTACTGCTTCACGGCAGAAATAGGCGAGTTGGTGATGGCACCAACCCGTGCGGACTCACATGAGGTCCTACCACCAGTACCATAGTCACAAGTTCGTTACATCGATTAAAAGTAGCACAGTTCCGTCCTATAGTATCACTTCTGTTGTGGTTTTATAAAGTTTACATATTTTACTTTGTTACGAAGAGACAGGAGGACATGCTCAACATTAATATGCTGTAGAGGGCATACCAGAACCCATAAGCGGTACAAAATCATATCAAACCCTATTTTTATTACTTAAATGGGTGGACGAGCTCAGCTTTGATTTGCGGGAGAGGGGGTCAAAGTACAACTGAAATAACGAATGTCATAAAACTCAAAACAAAACTCATGATTGAGGACGACAACAAGATATTATCTACCAGTAATTGCGCAACATAATTAAAAATGATAAGGTTTTGTTATTGAGCAATTTTATGCCTTCGCCATCCAAGATTTTAGTAAACGCTACATAATTATGTATTTAGAAAGGAAAAAAACACACCCACCCTAAATTCTTATTAAGGTGTATTCGTATTAAATATATTCCACAATATTGGTACCTTATCAAACTCAGTTCACGGAACTATTGTGTTACAAAAATGCCTTGATGAATAAGTCTCCAATTAGCCTGTCTCGTACAGTCAATCGAGAAACCACAATCATAATAAGGGTACACTTCAAGCAACATCGGATGGGCCGTATGCTCGTCTGCCTACAAAGGCAATAAAAAAAAAAAAACATCGGAAAAAGCGGCATAACACCAACGCAAAAATATACAACCGATAGCTTGCGAAATTACGAAAGACACTATTATTACATGCGCTAATCGATAAACACACTCTCCAAACGTACATATCCGCCAGCTGTTAAAGGCACACATTATTGTTGTCACACAATAATAATGACAAGTTATTTGTGTTAAAATACATTATAATTTCAAAGGAACAGGCAAACACACGAACCGAACGTGTTACGCTCACGTGTTAAGAAAGTAAAAATTAAACAAAGGTACACAGACAGCAAGTCCAAAATTTCCAAATTCAGTACACAATGAAAGAACAAGTACCAATTCACAGCAAAGATATTAAAGATTTCCTAAAGGATCCATTAGATCTTTGCATTAAACGCCTTTAGCTGTAACATGAAGAGCAGACTTAGGGACTCCGGTAGCCGAGAGTTCGACGTGCAACCTAATCTAAACACCAGCCCGCTGAGTTTCTGGGGTCGCGATTCCGATTCGATACTAGAGCCATTCGCGAAGCAGCTGCTCCTGAGTTCTTGAAGTCTCCATTTGGAGAATCGGGAACTGTTCGCAAATCTCACCCCTCTGGCTGAGCCTTTGCTCGCCCGCCAGCCCTGGTGAAACTAGAAAGGCCTCCGGGTCACCAGTAATCGCACAGTCACAAAAAAAAACATTAAAAATGGTGAATACAATTAGTGAATGTCACTGATTATCAACTTCTTGAAATACTACAGCTTTTCTTGCCTAGTTATAGTAATGCCTGGGTACAGGCAAACCACCGCTGCCTGTAACTAAGCACTCCGTGCAGATCTTATGTGAAGAAGGATTTTTCATAGCGCTCAGAAAGTACCATGGAGTTCCGTGGAGCCCACTTTCTAAGCGGTTATCCGAATAGTTCTTCATGTTTCTCTCTAGACAAATTGTACGAGCGTCTCCTTTACAAGCGGCTTTGACTTCAATACTGATCAATCCGCGCCGATCCATCCCTCGGTGCTGTTGGAGGCTACTAGTAGCAGTCAAACCATACGCACTTTATTCGTTAGACTTATCGAAGAGTTCGACGTGACACTAAGCCTAGAGCGTCGGCCCTCTGAGTTTCTCATTATATCTTCCCAGTGAAACGCGACTCCGATAAGGTAGTAGATCGATTCACGAAGCAATTTTCTGACTTCTAAGGCCTTGAGGTACTCAATTATTAGAAAACCTCTGCCCTCTCGTCTGAGCACCTGCTCTCCCCCACACTTTTGACTTGTGTGTCAATTTTTGCAGAACACTTTACTGTAAAGTTTCAGAAAACCTTTTATTTCTGTGGAAATAAATTAAAAACTAACCAAGCTTTAGCTCCATGTCTATAATTAATAGCAATTTTTCAAAATTCCATCATAGTTCAAAAATTACAACAAGTGATTTTATAAGCGAGGATGCATATTTATAGCCTATTCACTTATAAAACAATTTATGTATTTAATAATGTAATGTTTTTTTTTTTTAAATTTGTCACCGTATCTATCACTAGTTTTATAGTAGTCTTAATTGTGTATGCCACCCCACTAATTTTCTCGTAATTCGGGTACCCCCTTTGTATAGCAATCTTTAAGTTTTTTAAAGACATTAAGTGCCAAAAAGTTTAAAACAATGGACGTACTCGAGCATACTTATGTCTGTATCAGTAAAATTTCGCGGTATTTACGAGCATCTGGAATTTCGCGTTCCTTCCATTTACAATTGGTTTTCACTGCGATTATTGGGAGAAAACCAATTTAAATATTATTTCGTCTATTCATCTCGACTTCCGGCTACATACAATTCTCACAAAATAAAACGGTGAAGAACTGCAAGTGGATGTGATCAAATTATATTTTCGTTAGGCGAGGTAGGTATTTATAGAATAATCCGTTTTGCGTCCTCTAAGCTATTTTAATTAATTTAAGGGGCAGATGAGCTCACGGCACACTGTTTATCGGTATTCAGGATCATCTTAACTTAAAAACCACCACCCATCTTGGGATATGAGGTGGAGCTCTCAACAATTATATTGTTATACCGACTGTCTCACCATCAATAAGTTGTCGAACAAATTTAATTAAGATCGATGTCAATAGAGAAGTTAACTAAATTAACAAAAAAATAGCTAGGATACTAGATTTCTAAGTTAGATTATTATATCTATTAAAAAGTATCTTTACATGTATTTCTGCAGGAGACAAGTATACCTACAACGAATTACTGCTGGAAATTCAAGAACCTAAACTGGGATCAATGATTTTACGCTTCGCCTTTTTGCCAAAATCTATGGCATCAACCTATTTTAATCTATTTTTATTATATTTTATTTTATTTAACTAAAATTAACTTTTTAGCAGAATACGTATCGTACGTTAACCTTATTGCCAACTATCACAAGTAATTACTTAAATTCATCGAAGCTTGTACTTCGCATTCCTATTGATATTTTCTTATAATTGGTAATATATTTTTACTTTAAAACAGAAAAAAAATCACGTACACCAGTAGGGGTATTAAAAATCAATTAACATAATAAAAAATAAAAAAAATTAAGTACGGAAACGGCATATCATTCATTCCTAGCATACGTGAAGCTTCAAAACCAAAAAAATATATTATGCTTAAGTTTTTGAGGAATAAAGGGTGCAGCAACATTGTTATTCTCGTATTCCTAATTTGAAACAAATTGACGAGTGAAAAACAATACAGAGAAATGTACCTATATACATAAATATATATAAGTACCTAAAACAATATGATTGATCATTTTATTAATTACTTGAATGTTACTTTCTTTGACTGAGGACACTAGCGTCTCTTGAATACTGACACTGCAGAAAAGTGTCAAGAACCACAATCTTCCTTTGTTAAAAGAAAAAATGTATTATTACCCACAACAGATATCAAATCAGAAACCGTTTGATTTTCTCTTTAATCGGAAACAGATGAGCATACAGCCCTCTTGATCGTAAGTGGTCAGTCTAATCGGTATCGTCCAGACGCTACCTACCGTCGAGAACTCTTCAAACATCGTTTGAAGGCATCATAACGCTAGGCAATTCTTAAACAAGGCAGGTGTGACCTGGATAACCATGGTGGACGATCATAACGATTTAAGGGCATCAACTTTGCATCGATGGCGATCGTACGATAGACAAGTAGACGAGTTATGTAATTTCAAATAAGTATTAGACCAACCTCAATTGATTTTAGGATATCAATCACCAGTTTCCGAGCGTCTGCAACTCTTATTTGTAAGAATTTATATAAAAGAGCCATGTTTTGTTATGTCCGCGAAGTATCTATATTGGATCACTTTTGCAAGGGCACTCAAATAACTTGGTACGTTTGTACCTAGATAGGTAGGTATATTTTAATATTTGACACATAACAAATAACTGCTTCTCATTAATATGAAAAACAGAAAGATGACATTAATTCATTGTCAGGTATTGGAAAATTGCATTATTCAAGATAATTTCATATAAATAATTTTAAATAAAAATATAATAGATTAATGTTTGAAATCGAATTGAATTCTTACAAACCTACCTTTCACGCCAAGCTTAATACACAATCAACGAATACGTAACAATTTTTAAGTTGTTTTTTTTTATAAGCACAATATTCTTAAGCAATACACGATCCATTGAGAATATTATTTCTGCATAACAAGATGGACGCCGTTAGGAAATTCGATCGACTGTCGACTGTATGTTGTTCGTTGTTCCACTGAAGCGGCTTGCACTAAAATGTTGGTCGACAAAATGGCGACGCGCGCGACGCCACGTACCGGATATTGTCTTCCACGAATGTTGCATAAGTTGTTTTTAATATTAATTACTATTAGGCTTCGTTTAATAAATTACACCGGTATTAACGATTTTTTTTTAATTGAATGAAAATATTATATTATTATTCCATTTTATAGCGACTTACTTTTTATAATTATTCAATTGAATACATTTGTCTTGAAAGTCAGCATCTGCCATTTTTTCTGATGATTCAGGAAGCAGGTTTGTTTTTTTGAAGTTTAATTATATTATTATCAATAAAATAAAACACTGAACACACACTTCTAACTTCGATTCAAATGTATTAAAAACTCGACATATCACCCCGAAATCATACGTAATTAGGTAAAATTTTTGATACCTATTGCACAAAATTGAATAATGATCGTCAGGCAATCTCTGTACAAAGGTTATGTAAACGCTACATCAGACCTTTGTAGTATTACCTATTTAGTTTAAAAGTATGCAGGAAAATTCTTATTATAAGACGCCTGCACTCTGCACTTACATTATAGATAAGTACCTATAGGTTACTAGTACACAATGGTTAATAAATAGATAGCTAAATTTCAAGTTTCTTTTATCGTTGATTGTGCTTATACCTCATACATTATAAACCTGTTTAGTACTTAGACTTTGTACAGGGTCGCTAGGTATCTATCGTATTAAAAACAATTTCAAAACGTTTTCCACAAGTCCTATGTCTTCCACTGATGTATGATGTAAGTACCTAATTTGACTAGGTACTTATTAGGTACGATAATAAAATGATAATGTATATTTCCACCATTAATGTATCGAAATTTGTACACGTAAATAATACATTTTAGTATTAGTTCTCATTTAAACGTTTTTCTGTTCATCGCGATACACACTTCCAAGTTTCGACACAATCGTCACGACACAATATGGAGAATCTACGCGATTTCAGACCGACGCCATTGCGCATGTTAATTTAACAACCCAATATATCAACCAACAGCACGATTTAAAAAGATGCACTAACCTGTAAAATATCTTTATGAATAAAATTTTATTAATGTTCCATAATATTCCTAGACGTTTCTATTCACAATATTTAAGGTGCCCATATTCAAGAGCCAAACGCTGGGAAAGGTATGATTTCTTTAACGGGTTTAAGTTTGGTTATTCTTTGTTCGTCTCAGCCGGGAGCGGATGGCGACTGCTAGGGGAACTGGCGTGGCGTGCACAAAGGCAAGGACAGCGACCCACGCCCCACCGGCCAAAGCACCGCTGCTGTCAGCCCGAATACTACACTTTACTAGTGCCTGCCTTGCCTGCTCAACACACTGAGTTGTATTTTATATTTCATTCGCACGGTGCGGTGGTTCTCGTCGAAACGTACTGCGCATCGATTATTCTCGGACGAACGCCTAACCATTCGGCTCCAGTAACCGACACGGACGCACGTACACACTAAAGACGAAAATATTATTATTCTATCTCTGTTATAATAATACTTTCCGTAATGTTTTTAAAAACGATAACGAAGCGGATTCTGGCTGGTTGACAAATTTAATGTCGTTGCTAACAATGCTATTTACCGTGTTTGTTATAGATTAATGTATATACCTAGTGAGTATAATTAAAATATAGTTTGTGTGTTATAAAAAGATATGATATCATAATGTGATTCAGTATCTTGAAGATAGTGGCTGGGCATTGTGTTTCGCGTAATAAAAAAATATATTTTAGTTTTATATCGGGAATAGTGTGAGCTGTAGCACGAATATGGATAAAGAAGGCAAAAACCGACTGTATCTGTATGGAATACGTTTCAAAATTGACAGTGATTAAGACTTGTCTCGTGAATACGTGGTATTTAAACTGAAGTGTATAGTACTTACCGTATCATTGTTATTAACACTAACGGCAGATCTTGCAGTATCAAGCACTGTGGATCGAATAATCATAACATAAAAATCGTTGACTTTCTCATTTCGTACATAATTAAAATAAAATAAAAAAACACGGCTGCCCTACCAAAAAAATCATTGCCTTCGGGAAGGTGTAAGGTTTCTTGTTTGATGTAAATGTGAATTCGGAAATTACATTTTATTTTTTACTAGCCGACCCGGCAGACTTCGTAGTGCCTCAATCGATTAATAAAATACCTAAGCTTTTGTATAAAATAAACTTAAAACAAACAAAAGGAATCCGTGCGACGGGGGACACATCAAAGGAAAAACAAAATTGTTATTTTTATTTAATTCCGAGCATTTTCATATTTATCTACCTTTTAAACTCTGGACTTCCACAAATAATTCAAGACCAAAATTAGCCAAATCGGTCCAGCCGTTCTCGAGTTTTAGCGAGACTAACGAACAGCAATTCATTTTTATATAATTTAAATAGATAAAGATTACTTAGAAGGATTGACGAGCTCCAGTGACCTTGAGACATGAGTTCCAAGTCTCGGTTCTGTAGTATTTAAAATCTAACTCGAAATATGTATAGGTATCTAAACTTATTTGCCAGATCACGGTGTAGGTATCTTAGGATAATGAACGTCAGACGGAAGACAAAACTAATTTAAATGAAACTGAACCACAAAAAGACGGCCGTCGATAAATAATTTACTCGTATACACGAGAAATTATGTGAAGTTAACATTTAATATATAGGATTAAGTTGGTGCGTGTGAATACCAATATAAAAACCTTTTTTTTTTCTCTTTCTAATAGACAATAACAACTCGGAATATAACAATACAGATTCTATTCTACCTGTTGTGCTTCATACAACAATAGTACCATATATCTGTGGCTGTAAATACAATCTCTGAAGCTTGTAAGTTGTACTTAATATTTAAAATAAAAACTATTTGAAACCAATAATTTTGAACTTGACATTAAATTTATATTATTATGTATATTTAGTCCATTTTAGCCAGATGAAAATACGACCAACGTAATGGTAAGTCTTTTTTGTCGCTCGTGAACACTAAAGCCAGGGACAAAACAAAGCCGCTATCTACATCGGTAGGCAGCGGCTTGGCTCTGCCCCTGGCATTGCTGAAGTCCATGGGCGACGGTAACCACTCACCATCAGGTGGGCCGTATGCTCGTCTGCCTACAAGGGCAATAAAAAAAAAACTGAAACATGCCAAACTGTATTTCTTCATAGTAAATGTCTACATCTCTGGTAAAATGGGGACTAAGGGTCAAACATTCGTTTGTTCTCATAAAAATTGTAGCTAGTATTGGAATCTGCTACATATTAACTTGGATGGATAGATTAGAATAGTATGAGTTTTATAATATACTAGCGGACCCGACAGACGTTGTCCTGTGAATGCATACACAAAAATTCATTCAAATCGGCCCAGTCGTTTAGGCGGAGTTCAGTGACATACACACGTACAGTAAAATTATACATATAAAAATATTGATATAATTATTTCCCCTTCAATGTCTGTTCGGGTAAGATACTATACATTCGTATCTAATTATTCGACTACAACGGAGTATGCTGTGAAGGTATAACATCGGGTAATAAAAACAAATAGTGGTAAAGACGTATTAAGCTCGCAATGGTAGGTACCTCGTGCCTATATGTGTCGCCAAGCTTCGTTATGATTCAAGGCTGGAAGCTCATCTATGTATTTATCATTGTATTTATCAGCCCACAGACTTCCACTGTTGGACATAGACCTCTCTCAAGGCTTGCCACGAGCGGTTCTACGCTGTCTGCATTCGATCCATAAGTCTATCTAGAGTAAATAAAGAGAATATTAAATAATTTTTGGCCTAATTAAACGAGTACCGAAGCTCGCTGCTAACCTCCCAGCAAAATTTAAGTTTCAATTGCAACGGTCTAACATATGTACCATAGATATTGGATAGCGGTTGGTTGGATAGTTTTACTGGTGGTAGAACCTCTTGTGAGTCCGCACGGGTAGGTACCACCACCCTGCCGATTTCTGCCGTGAAGCAGTAATGCGTTTCAGTTTGAAAGGTGGGGCAGCCGTTGTAATTATATTGAGACCTTAGAACTTATATATCAAGGTGGGTGGCGCATTTACTTTGTAGATGTCTATGGGCTCCAGTAACCACTTAACACCAGGTGGGCTGTGAGCTCGTCCACCCGTCTAGGCAATAAAAATAAAAATAAAATGGTAGCCAACTGATTTTTTTGCAACATCTCCAAAAAAGTTTCGGATCCACAAAAGCCAAGTTCAATTAATTCTGTTTTGAAGTTAATGCGGTGCCATTGTTCCCAGTTTCCAGAATAAAATTAAGTTGATATACAAGTATTGGAATTTATAATCCTTTAGGATGAAATCGAATGAAACGGGATGTGATGGAATGAAATAAGGTAACATTAAAATTCTCCGAGATTTCTGTACACGTTCAAACCTAAAGAAACACAAAATTAACAACGTACCTATACAATAATAAAATTCACACAAATACACTCCACGCGTTGGCAATAATGATTCCAAAAATATTTCTCGCTTCTCGCCAATCCAGGCAAATCTCTTATAATGATACCAGAGAATACATAGATCGAGCCCTGGTAATAAAATTATGAGGCACTCGAGAGGTGTTTGGGCGTCTTGTGAGCTCGCTTGGGCGTTACCACTGCCCTGAATGTTTCTGCCACGGAGCAGTAACACGTTTCGGCTTGAAGAGCGGAAAACCCGATATAGTATACAAATGAGACTTTGGCCTTATGTCTATTCGCATTTTAGGTAGGTTGTCAGATCGTTAGCCCGTTTATGGAGGAAAAAACAAAGGCACCGGAATAAGCTCTTCTCCACGGTATTTCCTGAGCGCTATAAAGAACCTTTCTTCAAGTCAGGCTTCAAAGGCGTCTGTAGCGATAGGCAAATTGTTAGGTGTACTCCTGGAACTGCTAATGATGTAACCGTTTAATAAATAAACGAATATTTCCCTACACTCATATCGTTTCATTGTGAAAAGCCCACGTTTCGCTTTTATTTTTTCCAATACGGTCTATAATTGACCAGCTCCAACTGAAATGATTGACAACCTCATTCGTATTCGCTCAGTACTAAAGTATTGGGGTTAGGCATAAGGCGCAGTTTGTGCTCGCACCGGGCTTACACACTCCAAAGTAACACAATGCCAGCATCCTGCCGTTTCTGTTGCGAAGCCATCTATCTTTTCACTGGTGGTAGGACCTCTTGTGAGACCGCACGGGTAGATACCACCACTCCGCCTATTTCTGTCGTGAAGCAGTAATGCGTTGTAAATGTCTATGGCCTCCAATAACCACTTAACACCAAGTGGGCTGTGAGTTCGTCCTAGCAATGAAAAAAAAAATGTATTTACGATTCAAGGGTCGTTTTTCATTGCATTCATGGGAGAACGAGCTAATGGTTCCGCTGTTGGGGTTACCGGAGTTCACGGTAATCATTAGATATATGAATGCCGTCGCCCAGCTTGAAGCCTTTCTGTAGTATTGAATAGCAACTGTTCCACTCTTCAAATCATGATTCCTTTGCGACAGAAATAAGCAGGACCGTTTTTCTTAAAACACACCCAAATACGCAAATTAATTATATTTTTTTTAGTTTCTCATGTGTCAACAGAAAACGGGCATTCATACACGTCTGTCTACCTTAGCGAGGTGGAGGAACCGTAAATTCGTCTGTTGAATTAAGTATTAAAAAAGCCTTTTTTTCAATTATGGGGGTGATTAATTAAACATACATGGTTTATTTCTTTGCTTCTTTCCGTGTTTAATTAAACATACCTATACACGTTTTATTTCTTTGTTTGTTCCCGTTGGCTATATTATCTTCCTAACGTTTAACTTGTATACACTTTAATAAAACATATCTGTTATTATCCGCTTTTTAGTCAATATTCAAATACATTTCAAATTTTTTGTTCATTCAATAATGTGTTTTTTTTTTCGTATGCTTTCTCTGGCTATGCGAAAAATCTCTCAAAGGTTGCGGTAATAGATTTTTTTAAATCTTAATTTTATCTTCGCTCACTTTTTCTTTAAAAGTCGAATAACATTTTCTCGATCCAATAATACAATTAGTTTTCTGTCGGAATGTATATCCATACAATAGTCAACTACGCTATCAGACAGATTGTTTAGACGTAAATACTAGTTGGTTATCAACGATAAAATGTGTTGGTAAAAATTATCAGTATCGTTTTCACTGCGCA